GAAAGCAGCATTTTTCAAAGAAAGAAAACAAAAATCAACAAAACGTGAAACTCAAATTTCTTGACGAGCCTCCAGCGTTAAAGCCAAACATTGGAGGAAGCTGTGAAAATAATGAAAATAATCTAATGAAAGTACGAGCTATTGGGAGCTTTAGGTCACGTTTTCCTCTGCCCACTGAGTTCTTATATCATCAGGGCAGCATCACGACCATCGCCAGCAGAAATTTTCTAATTGGCATCGTAGTATTCGGTATTTAGCTTACCGCGACGTGTTTAGTTAACCAAATTTTTTGTATCTTTGTTCTAAAGACTTGATGAAACGGAACAATCTATGGCTTACAGTGTTTTTTTCACACATAATCATTAGTTTTCTTCAGGGATATAAAAGCTAAAAAGAGACCCATATGATTCCAAAGACACCAAGTTCTCGCATCAGAAATCTTGACGCAATTCAACTTAAACAAAGAAGATTTCGATGAAAATATATCAAAAGGCGAACGTTTGATACCAGGATCAAAGTTAGTTTGAACGTTAGCTCACAAAACACTTACTAATTAATTCCCGGTTAACTTTTTTTTAAGACACAACAATGCGAGTCTGTTCAATCATCCAGAAATTTCTAAAAGTGGTTCAAAACTTTAAGTTAGTTTATATTGGGTTTTTTAGTCGGTTGGCTGAGTTATCAATTTCAGGTAGACATAAGGCTCCACGTCTGCCATTTTTCCCTCACAGACTAATGGATTTACGATATAGTTCAGAAGCACCAGTGGGATCAATTAAAAAACGAAAATCAGAAAACTGCAGCAACTACTTTGCGAAGAGGAAATTTAGGCGTGAAAAGAGAACCTTTCAAGGGTGGATTTGAGAAGGAAGCCGGCAGACAGTATACCATCAGGATAAAATTACGCTATCTAGTTTTTTTATTTCGCCATCTTATCTAGTTATAACTTGATGAGGAACGCCGCTACATCTTCATTTTACAATTTTGCGGTAAGTGCCGACCTCTTTTTCCTGATTGAAAAAACACCGTGATGTTTAAGCTGTCTGGCTTTATGCCATGCATTCTCTAAATTTCTCAGTGATTCGAACCCTCATCACTCAAAGGTTCCACCCTTTTGGTATTAGTGTCCGACATCCAATTTTGGCCGACCGACCCTAAAATTTGGGTTTTTGAATTTTAAAACAGCTCGAAAAATCAATTTGGTCGACCCAAAAAAGATCATTATAAATTATTCAATTGTTTTTGCCGATGGGAAAAAAATTTAAATGCGCCCATCAAATATCTTAAATTGCACAGCTATAAGAGCAGAAATGGTTGATCGAACTTTAGCAAATAAATGGCCATTGAATACCAGCATCATGATTAGTTTAAAAACGAAACTGAGCTTCGCATCACTGCGATACAACACAAACATAGCCTTGCAGGTATTCAAGCAGAAAATGAGACCAAAAACGCTAAGTCAAAAAATTTTATAAGATTTATCATAGTTCTTAAAATCAATAATCAATAAAAAAAAACTATCATAATTGAAACAACTGTCACTGTTGCAAAACTTGTGCGGTGGCAACTAGGCCGAGAATACTTGAGCAGACAAAAGCTAAGCCGACACTTAGAAAAAAAGGCGGAGCGACAATTCATCGCAACTGGTCGAAAGCGACAACTGGTAAGTATGAAGAAAAAGCGAAAAATTGCACCAAGCGACAAATAGCAACGCAAACTCTCTGGGAGTGCCTCTGAGGCTTTTCGCTTAACAATTGGTGTTTCGGTTTTCGCGAGCACGAAACACTTATCAATCGAATTGCTGCATATCAATTAAAACCTATTAATTTTTAGTTGTTACTTGTCAATTTTTCGAAAAAATGCAATTTATCCCTTTCAATAGGTTGTCTTTTTTTCGAGAAAGCAATTTTCCACGCTAAAATGCTTGAACGCAGATACAAATATTACTTGATTTCATATATATGGTTTTTGCAGGGCCTCAAAAGAGCGCAAAACATTGAAATTGTTTAATTATAGAAAACTGTTTAATCCATTCAAAACATTTTATTGTGACAAAATTTTACATTCCGAGGAAGCGTTACCAAACTAAGAGCCAATAAAACGATTTTTTGCTGTTACCATCTGTAGCCATTCCATACCAAGAATTTTTTTATTTTGCGTTGAAATGTATCAGCCCTGTTGGTCGAAAATTGATATTTACATTTTTCTGACATTCGAAAACAGAACCAAAAAGTTCGACTTTTTTCTTCCAGACAATTTGCGAACTTTCAACAAATTTGTTTTCCATTTTTCTACATTTACTTAGCTCAAAAATAAAGAAAACTTCGTTTTTTGCACTGTTTTTTCTTTATTTTTGTGGCTTGAAAAACGAGGTTTGAGACACTTAAAGCACAAAAACTTTGGTTGTCTGTTATCGTGGTGCAAATTTTTGGCTCAATTTTTGAGTTGAGGTATAGCCATTGGTACAAGCATTCCAACCAATTTGAGCAAAAAGAACCAAAACGTTTCATTTTAAGAATCATTTTTGAAACAATTTGAAAAAAAAAACATAAAAACCGGTTGCTGTGCAATAAGCACGAAATGTTCCAATCAAACTCATAAAAAAACAGCAAAAAAAATCGTGTAATTTCTTGAGTGTAATTAATAGAAAAGAACATATACAACGCGTATAAACTTAATAAATTAAGGGTAATCGTTGTCTTCGAAAATTTCTGACAAAAAAATGGAAAAAAAATTCAAAATTTTTTTTTCTAAATTTGCTTTGTTTTTTTTAGAAACTTATCATTACCGGGGAAGCGCTAAAGGAAGCTTCTAAATTAATTCAGAAAGCTTTTTGCAGTCTAAACAACTAATTTTTATGACGATTTTTTTTTTACTCGAGCGCTTTACTCGCTCGAAATTAGGCCAAATTTAAAAACTTCAAACCGGTTTTTCTGGAAACTATTTTTTTTGCTTAAAAAGTCGTTAAAATTACGTTTTATTTTGATATATCATTCAACTCAAGTAACTATTTGTGGAAAAAACCCGACTACAAAAGTTTTGCCCCTTTTGAATTGTCGGACAAAAATAAACAGAAAAATAATCCGCAATATTTGTTACCAGTTCTTTCGAACACTTTTCGAGCTGCTAATTAACACATTTTGGTAAATTTTTTGCAATTTTCAGATAGTGAATTGTTGCGCTTGTAAATAAACATATTTTTTCCCATTTTAAATATCAGTTTTTGGGGTTTTAAAACTTCCAAATGAGATAACTATATTTTAAGGCCACTTGATATGCCTCAAAAAGCATTTCAAATTGAAAGGAGCGAATCAAGTTGATAGCGTTTTTGCGTTATTATACGCTGAGATATCACTTTGTACGATCGCGTATCAGGACGTTTTTGCAATGAGAAAAAACTTTGAACAATTATTCTGATAAAACTTTCAAAATCGTTTAAGCAAATACTACTTCAACAATTTAAAGAACAGTCAAATTACTCAGGTTACTGCCTTCATAATTAATGAAGAAACTGTTTCACAAAATTTCACCGAAACATAAAAACCTAAATTATTTCGTTTCGACTTTAAAGGATAGTTAAGTAATATTTAAGCTGTGTATAGTTTTCCAGTGGTAAAATTCAAAATTTATCTATCATTTTTAAATAATAAATTTTATGCAGCCTAACAAATACTTTTAGCTTCAGTTGAAAATTAAAAAATCTTCAGTTGACAAGTAAAAAAAATAGAAGAAAACCAAATGATTCAAATTCTCCGAAACTATAAACAAATTTTGTCATTTTGTCTATTTTATTTCGTGTAGGGAGGATTTTAAATAAAATGTAAAATTCCAAAACATTTAAAATATTTTTGAAAAGTTTTCATCAAATTTTTCAAAACAAGAAGAGCTTGAAACATTTCAAAGGGCAATCAAATTAATCGTGCCATCCCCTGATACGATCACTTTTGCTGAGTTTTTGTTCCGGTCTTCCGCTGATTAAAATATATAATATTGAATTGAAAAAAGAACATTAAAAAAATTTATTCATGTAACTTCATTCTCGTTTTTTAACTTGTAAGCTACTGTATATTCATTTCCTTTTCTCTGGTCAGGACATAAAAGCGATAATATTAGTTCTGTTTTTTATTCCTTCAGAGAGTTCAGTTAACGCTTCTAAGTGTGTTAGTTGGAAGCGAGTTGAATTTTTAGTGGTTTTTTGATGGTTCATAAAAGGTAAGAAAAATCAGAAAGCGTTGCTTTTTTAAAAACATTTTAAACATGAAACTGAAAATCGCAAGGAAGTAAATTTTTGCATAATTTATGAACAAAAACGAGCAGTAGCATTTAGAAATAATTCCCAATCATAAATTTTTTATTCATCTCCGATTTTGCCCCGAACTAGATTAAAAGTCAGTCACGGTAAATTACTCCAAGTATAAGGAATTGGCGATAAAGCCGCTTTATGAATGGGTATTTACTTAATCACCCCGATGTGAAATTTCAGATGCAACTAGAAATACGGATCGTATGCTATAATCCTTCCCTTACCTTTGACGTCTGAAAGGGGGAAGACTTTGAATGAAAAGCACTGGTTTAAAAACTAGGTAACGAAATACGTCACAAAAAAATTACGCTTTTTACGCCATCGTCATTAGTATCGCATTGCGTTTCACCGCTAGTCTTAATTAGGAGAAAGCTTTTTTCTTCAAATTGGGTCATATAGTTTCGTCTAATTTAGCATCGGTCGAAGTCCCCACCCCTGTCTAATCGTATATTATGAGCTTCTGCAGCGCAGTTAATGTTCCTAATAAGCAAGGCATGCAGCTATACGAATGGATTCTTTATATCCCCTTGCTTCAAGATTGGATAAACGTGAATGGCTGAGGAATTGGAAAAGGTAGTCCGAAATTGAACGAAATAGTAAAGATAAAAAGATTTTTTTTTTCACAATTTCTTCACATGGCGATGTTGAAAAAACCGCACGGCGGTGATACAGAAATCACACGTTCATTCGTACACACATATATCAGCAGTACTACTTTCAATACTCAGAGACCAATATTGCTTCCGATTTTCCCATTTTTTTCTAAACGAAGAAGTATAAATTCGGTTTGTACGCTGACAATTGCTAAATATTGTAACCGCTTACAGCACGCAATTTCGCTGTTCCTTCCTTGACAGAAAAAAAAAACAAGAAAAAATCTAACCGCTCCATATTTTACCTACATAGAAGACGCTATTTCCCGGTATATTCCAAACTTCCTTCACATTTTAATACCTATAGTAGAGCTACAAAAAACGGCAGCCTTTTAAGCTGATTGGAGATCCCGCAAGCCTCAAATTTGGCCCAACATAACATAACCTTGCGCTCCTCTATTACTTTTCCTTAGTGCAAAATAAACCCTTGCCAATTATTTTCCCACACCTGAAAAAAGCTGCAAAACTCTTCTACACATCGTAAACTGTCACTTTAATTAAACTTTCACCACATTCTTACAGACTTCACTGTCTTAATTTAGTCGATTGGACTTCAGCGAAAGTCAAGGTAAGGTTTTGTTGGATATTTTCAGCTAGATGGAAAACTAAATGAAGATGAAAAGCTGCAAAGGTGAAGTTGATCAAAAAAGAGGTTAAAGCTAGATAAAGTTCTTATCTATCAGAGTAAAAAGTTGAACATACTTAACCTTCAGCTCAACAAATACTAATTTTAGTATCTGTAATTTTTAGTCAAACCCAGTTTATTTTAAATTTATTGTTACTGAAACTATTAGTCAACATATATAACCCAAATTGCGGCTTCAGCTTAAGTTTTAGACTGAGTTTTCTCGACTCATAAAAAATAAAGTTACTGTGTCGCTACTGAGAATGTATCAAAAAAGCCAACTTCGATCTCAAATTAGCATTTTGTGAGGTACCTGAAATCGCGCAAGATACAAATATCCACCCCAAGGCCTTGCTTTTTTCTTTTGAGGTAAATTGTGAAAGCCGTCGAAACAATTATCTGTCTGCTGATAGCACAGTTTTTATTCGGTTTTTTGAAACTTTGTCAATTTTTTTTCGAATTATTTTATGTTCTGGGTTTTTTCTTCCAGAGTATTTTCTGGGTATATGTTGAAAGTTTGAGCATAATTGGTAGCAAAATATTTTTAAAAGAACGCTAGGTAAAAAGAACGCTAGGAACGCTATCTTTTGAACAGGTTTTTGACCGGCCATTTGATTTTTTGTACTTTTAATTACAGTGCAAAAATAACCCGACACATATCCGTACGTTTTTGAAGCATTCTAATGAAATCTAATGAAGAGCGATTTTAATGAAATCTAAAAAGCATCTGACTAGTTTTCCTCAACACTGGCAGACATTTAATTCAACAAGTACTCATTAAATCACATCCGAAATGACTGTAACATATAAACTTTTGCCCCATTAAATATCTTGAAGAACTATAAAAGAATGAAAATTAAATTGACGTTAAAATACATTAATTTCACTTGCTTCAAAATGCTAACTTGCTGATTTAAACTATCGAAAAAAAGAACATTAATGAATTGTTTATAAGTGTTTTTCTCAAATTGAGTTGACATTAGACAAAAAGTATGTCAAATTGCTTAAAAGGCTTAAAGTTTATCCAAATACAGATAGCTGAATGAAATTTTTTTTTCGCAAAGTTTAGACCCAAAATTTTACCCAAGAAAGGATAATTTTTGGCTTTCTTTAGTCAATCAAGAATCACGCCAAAATTATCAGGTCAATCGATGGCTCAATCAAATTAAGGTGAGCCGCTTATTACGGAAGAATTACAGTTAGCCAAAAGAAATTGGCATTTACTTTATATCCAAAACAAAATGTTTTTACTTAAATACAAAACTTCAAAGTTTTACGCTAATTTTGGAGATTTCACCCTTCTTAAAAATTATTTTCCTTCATACGATGAAGTCTTCACCCTATAAAAAAATTGTTATCAATTGATCCATCGCTTATCGCGTAATTGTTTGCATTGATCAAAATGATTCAAAAATTTTCCCTTTTAGCTTTAAGTTTTAAGTCCGAAAATTGCCAAATAAATTACACCATATTGATTTCTGATAAAATCCCAAGAACCTTTCATCCTCATCATTTTTGGTCTAATTTCAACCCAAGTTGAGAAAAACGCTATTGAATTACTCAATTTTGTTTGCTTTTGTCCGATTAATTTGTATCAGCATTGTATATGTGTAGATTCCATTAATATGAAAATTGTGTGGAAAAAAAACAGATTTTTCTACCAAGAACAGACGGTTGCTGAGCAAGTAGCACAAAACTTTTGTTCTAAAAATTTATATTTCTCTTTTTTTTTGAAAAAAATCAAAACTATTGAGCATAAACTGAACCAAAATGAAGGGCGACTCTTTATACGAAAGTCGGCTGAAAATCAAAAGAAACTCGGCTGAAACTCGATTGACCAAAAATACTGAATGCAATTTTTTATTGTTTTTTTTCTTCAAAACCTTGCCTGTAAAAAAATCAAAAAGATGATAACAAAAAAATCTAAAAATGTCCCTCCTAAAAAAATCCTCAGATATTAACAATTCTGCATTTAATGTCAAATTCAAGTGTGAGATCAGCCTTCTACAAAACCAAAAAATTAGCAAAAAAAATTTGAAAGAAAACAATTCAACATTTGCGCATCTAGTGATTACCATTGTGTTTCATGGTAAAACTAAAGGTATAACCATTTATGGCTCAAACTTGTAAATCAAGTTACATACAGCCGCGGATCTAGGAATTTCTCGTGGGAGGACCAAATTGATTTTCTGAGGTCATCCAAATCACTATAAAGACTCTAATTTGACGAAATTTCTGCGCAAGGCGCAAAAACGGCGTTTTTAGGCACTTTTGGAAAATTTTGACAAAAAACTCGCGTTTTTTTGGCGCGCGCTCCCCTCTCAAAATTAATATACATTGGCAGCGAAGGCGCCCTCAGACAATTTTTGGGGTCTTTTATCAAAATTGGATATCTCAAAATGGTGCAAAGGCGGGACCCTTTGGGTCGGCAGGAGGTCGCAACCTTGAGGAAAAAAAGTCCGCTACCCCCCCCCCCCCCTAAATCCGCTACTGGTTACATATCTTAACTTTAATGTCCTATTCAAAATTCAGTTAACTACAGAAAATTGTTCCTTTAACCTCAATTGCAAACGTATTTTTCTTGATCGCCTGTAAAAAAAACACTCAGCCATTGCACGTGAACCAGCAGCCTGTATAACTGCTAACTTAACTTTTATGAAACAGCAGACTGATTACACTTACATTTAAATTCTTACACTTTCCAACTTTTATTTGTAATATGATGCTTTAAGACTTTCAGTGACATTGATTTTCCGGGAGTCTAATCTTTAAAAAAATAATAAAATAAATAATTTGTTGATTAGGCACAAGTTGAGTTGTTACCATTTAAAGCATCTGAGCAAAAAAAAATTACGTAGAAGTCACATAATTCCGTTTCTTACACTTTCACTTTGTCTCCGCAATTGTTCGACACAACTTTCAAAAGAATAGCCGATGAGATTTGTTGTAATCACATGCACATACAAGCGCGGTTCTAGGATTTTCTCTACTTTTTTAATCGACCAAATTGATTCTCTCAGCTCTCCCAAATCCTTATAACGACTTTTTTCAACCAATTTTTCAGCACCGCATGCAAATTTCTCAAAACACAGGCCAAAAAGACGTTTTTATGCACTTTTTGGAAAATATTGACCATAAATGTCTATTTTTGGCGCGCGCTCGCCCCCTCAAAGTTAGTATATATTGGCGCCTTTGAAAAAACTTTGGGGTCAGTCAGCCGAAAATGGATATCTCAAAATAGTACAGAGGGAAACCCTTTGGGCCAGCAGGGGGTCGCATTCCTGAGGGAGGGTGCATCCACCTCCCCCCTAAATCCGCCATCCCTAAATCCGCCACATACATAAAGCTTTACGGATGTACAATTCATTTTCTTGGAGCAGTTTAGTTATATTCACATTTGTAAAAATTTTATATAAAAATATTGCAGCAAGCGTCAATTGAAACTGAAAATGACCATCAAAAACCAAAAATCACTGAACGGCAAGCTACTAGTTTTTTTTTGTTGTAGCTACTTAGCATTTAACGCCGGTATATAAGATTGTAAATCAAGTTACACCTCAATTTTACTTTTTATTCAAGTTTTTATTTACTGCGTAAACGAAAACAATTTTAAACTACTGCTGTCAGCATAACTTTTTTGATTGCTTCCTTTAAGCTTTGCAAAGAGAGTAGAAGTTAAACAGTCCATTTAAAATTTTAGTAAATCACTATTTGAACAATGATGTTCACAAGCAAAAAAATTGGAGGTTGAACATAAACCGGAAAAAGAGAGAAAAATGGTTGAAGTAAATTGATCTTCTCTGAAAACTTGAACTGTGAAATTCAAATTATTTAAACTTCAGTGCTACAGAAAATTCCAGTAATAATGACACAGAGGCGAAGCTGAGCTTCGCATCATTTGCGATACAATACAAGGAAGCGGCTATGTCGAAAAAAATGGAAAAAAAACGCGACAATGTCGAAAAAACTAGATATTTTGAAATGAATTAGCATAACTTCAGAACAAAAACGTGCCCACCCAAAAGAAGACACAATTAGCATCGAAAGAAAATTCATCAAGCGGTAACAAAGCCGAAAATACCTTAGCAGAGAACCTTTTAGCCGACAAAAATTCAAACCAATGCATAAATTCCCTCAACACACACACACACACACACACACAAACTTTATTCGCCGGTCAAATGAAACAATATGAGGCCACTAAGCTGATAGTGTATTGGCCAAAACCTATTAAACTGAAAAAAAAGAAACTATAATAAAAGCCGGAAAAAATTCGAAACATTTTTGCTAACGAAAAGTTATTAGATCCCCCTTGCCCTCAAAACACGCACACAGACAGACACAGCTTGTCAAATGGCGCAATATAAGGCCACTAAGTTGATATACTGCAGGCCGAAACCTATTTAGCCGAAAAAAAAATAGAAAAAAATGGAAAAAAAATCAAAAAAATTTATAACTAGTAAAAAAAATATTAAATCCGCCTCCCCTCAAAACATATACACACCAAAAAAATTGCCCGTCGAAGGATAAAACGCAATATGAGGCCCTTAAGCCGATATAATATACGCCGAAACGTAACAAGCCGAAGAAAAAAAAATTTAACAAATCGAGTCGGTAAAATTACAACCAACATTAAAAAATAAATTCGTATAGGACCGATATTTAAACGCTACGATGCAGAAAAAAAATCGTATGGGTAAATCTGTTGCTAACAGAGGCTGTCAGGAAATGAGTCCAGATGAAACGGGAGAGTCTTGTACCTAATTTTATTACCGGAAAAAAAGTCTAGTACCTGATTGCAATAGCCTTGCTTATCGCAAGTGTAAAAATTGGAGCCTTAACTGGAAGTAGAAAAGAACTACAATAGTTGAGAAAAAAGCTCGTAAATTATTTTAACCCTTTGAAAAAAAAACTAATTGCAATAAAAAAAGTTATGTGATATGTTTTTCAAGGAAATTCGAGAAAAATGGAAAAATCAAAAAGAGTATGGAACTCCATGTATTCATATGCACATACGTGTTAAATTTAATTGCCGTCCAATTCTTATCCTATGAGGAGTTAGGTAACGCACTGACAGACACTTGGAAATTTTTTCCTTTTGTTTTGAATATAACTTAGCATGAACATTGGGAAAATTGGTACAATCAAATTTTCATCGTAAGTCATTCTTAATTGCGAGCTACCAAACAACCAGTGAGATGGAAATAACTGAATCGAAAAAAAAATGAAAAAAAAAAAACTCAACAACATTTTTGAAAATACGAAAATTCTACCTAAAAAACAGACGAGAAAAACAATCACAAGCATTAAATAAGCTTTTAGTACTTTCCGAGTGTTCACTAAGCCAACAATACGTGGCTGGACATCAGTTGATCTGATATCAAAACCTGGCAAAGGCAATTGTTGTCATAAGAAAACCTAGAAAAAAATCAACATTTTCTTATTGGAAATACGAAACAGTCATCTCAGAAAAACAGACGAAAAACACAATAAATAGCCTTAAGCAAACTTTTACTATTTTCCGAGCGTTCACTAAGGCGAAAACACGTGGTTTGACGTCAATTGATCCGTAAACAAAAAATGGCAAGGGATATTGTTATCATTAAAGAAAACTTTTTTGGAATAAAACAAATTCAATCTCAGAAAAACAGACGATAAAAACAGCCACTAGCATTCACATCGATTGCAGTTTTTCCAAACGTTCACTGAAGCGACAACACGTGGTTAGACGCCAATTAATTCGAAAATAAAAATGCCAGAAAAAATTTTGTCATAAAAAACTGTCGAGCGATTAAAAAATCTGAACTTTTAAATTTTATAAATCCAAAAAATCCGACCTGATTTATCAACCACAAGATTAATCAATTCTTATCTTTAAATGGATGCAAAATATATTCACAAAAACGTCAAAACAATCGCCAATTTCAATTAAGCCGAATAAAATTTCTAGGCGACAAAAAACAACAAAAAAACGGAAAATCTATAGTACGACTAATAACATTTTCCCGGTCCCGGAAATAAGTTTCAAACCAAGTCCGACCGGGACTCAAACCAAGTCCGGCCGGGACTCAAACCCCTGACCATAGGTTGCAAAAGCGTTTGCTTTACTTCCAGACCAAGTGTGATGGGACCTAGATGTTGGTAAGGTTCGATGAAAACCAAATATCAATTTCAATTCAATTAGTAATGTGTGAGAAAAGTTGTTTACGGGAAAAAAGTCTAGTTCCCGATTACAATACACTTGCACTCGCAAATTTAATCACAGTGAAATCAATTTCCACGCACTTTTAGTTCTTTGACCTTTTTTGGATCGCCATGCAGAAAAAATATGCGCTATCGCTTCTTTTAATTTTGCACATTTACACGCTCTCCTAGCCAAATTTTGAAGGCAAGTGATTCATTGCTTTAAATTTTTGTTGATTTTAACTTTATATAAGTTGACCAACACAATGAACCCAATAAATTTTGACGATATTACAAGGTTTTCAAGGTTTAAGAAGACAGCACGATCGAACACATGTTAATCAAATTGGTTATGACATATTCGGGTCTGATTAGACTAATGAAATTCGGATTCAAATTTTTGTAGATTCCTGAGAAAAAAACAACAGCGCTGAACTTATGAGTAATTATTATTTGTTTTCTTGAACCCGGTAAATTTTCTTGAACCTACCTTTTTTTTCAGGGATTCGATCTACTCATCAGATGCCTTTGCTAGAATTTTACGACATCCCTGTAAATTTCGTCAAAAAAGGGTCTTTATAGTGATTTGGGAGAGCTAAAAGAAAATCAACTTGGTCGACCTATGAAAGCACTACCCCCCCCCCCCCCCCCCCCCCCGCCCAGAGAGAAAATCCTAGATCCGCCCCTGATTTGGATAATTTTGCGTAATTTACCATGAAATCGTTTTTTTTTCTCGTAATCTTTATTCGCAAAATAAGAACATAGAGATGCGAAAGGCTTTGCTCTGAAATGTTTCGACGTATCAACTCGCATTCAAAATGAGCACCGACGTGCTTTTCTTTGAGATTCGAACCCATTAGAAATTGAGAGTACATTGTCTCTGAAACTAAAACAGCAACTAATAAACTAATAAAAGACAAATAACGTCACTCGATAAAAAAAATCTTCATTGAAAATAAATTCATGCAGGATATTTGTTATACAATTTACTCCGTTCAAATAAGTGCTTACACTAGTCAGTTCCGATTGGGCCAACCCCACGACGGCCGCGGCACTTCCAGAACTCTTATAGGCTCATAATTAGCTGGAGAGGCACCGCGTGTCTCGCTGCTACCGATCACCGCAACAATCCACCTGATCACCCGTGGCACATTCGCGAAGAAACTACCCCCGTTGCACCTCTGGAACTCCTGCCCTTGTACGTATTTGGATCTCGAATGGCTAACTACACCATAGAGGCACTCAGGTACTCGTGTTTCGCATGCTAGTTTGTACAGGGGTCCCCCGTCATCCATCGCACATATGTTACTCCCCTCGAACATTGGCTGGGTGCAGATTTTGTCGGCTGCGCACCAGTCCATTCCCACAGGCATACCTAGAAGTCAAAATATTTTTTACAACTAAGCACTATCGAAACAACCTTGAGTTGAGTTTTCATTTGGATAAATCTTCCTCCGAGTTTAATTTTGAGGAATTCAGTCTCTCGTGTCTACGTTTGGCAACATTATCAATCAAGCAATAATTGTGTAGGTATGTGTAAATGATTTGAGTCCTGTGTTAATTTCGTCTCTAATTTGCTGCGCGAAGTAATTTCTGGTCTAAGTGCTCAGTTGCGTAGCCTTATAGATTTAATCCTTCCTATTGAGAGCTTATCAAAATAATCCGGTCATTAACTAGTGTGGCAATAGCCTGGACAATTTTGTCTGGGAACCAAATGTCTTGGACACTTTTTGCATTTTGGACTGTTTTTGCCGGGACATAAATGTCTGGGACACAAATGTCCTGACACGGATCTACAGACATTGCTAATTTTTTCACGGGGAAAAGAGTTTCAAACACGTATAATAATTAATAATAATTTAGATCTGCGATTCGCAGAGGATATATGAAAGGCTTTGCAGCCTGTCTAAGCATAGTCCGTTTCTCAAGTTTCAAAAAATTATATCAAACAGTTGGCTGCCAATTAGAAACTGTTTTCTACAAAACTTGCAAACCTGTACTAACTTGCCAATTTAATAACCAGAAATCAAGGATTAATCATCAGAAATTTCAATGTTTAATAAAAAACGGGTTATAACAAAAATCATATTTTTGCAGCAAACAGCCACAAAAAGAAGCAGCAAAGAGCAAGGGCAGATCTAGGATTTTCTCGAGGGGGGGGGGGGGACGGATTTTCAAAAAATTTTGTCGACCTTTTTTTAGTCAACTAAATTGATTTTTCGAGCTCTCTCAAAGCATAGAAAAGACCCTCTTTTGGTCAGTTTTTCTGCGCCGCAGGCAAACTTTTGTAAAAAAAAAAGGTCAAAAGGCATTTTAGGCACTTTTTGGAAAATTTTGACCAAAACATCGCTTTTTCGTTGCGCGCTTCCCCTTAAAGTTGGTATATTTTGGCGCCAAAGGGTCCGTCACCAAATATGGATATCTCAAAATAGTACAAAGGGGGACCCCTCTAAAGAGAATATAACTTAAAATATAAAAGAACTTACGTTTATGTACAACATATTTTTTTGAAATGCGACATGAAATGCTACTCAAACACTCGCCTGCAATCCTTTTAGTTTCGAATAAGTACGTCTCCATGAGTACATTCGAAATGGTCAGGTTCTTCTGAGTTGATGTCGACCCCAAACCACAAGTGGCTAGCGGTGTGCCCTCGGGCAGCTCTTCATCACAAATGGGTATTGGTCTACTGAATGAATTAGCGATTGGTGATCTAAGCTTCAGTAGAGCAAAGTTGTAGTTCGGTTCAGATGACAATTGGAAGCTAAAAATATTTTTTATTTCGATTATGAATCACATCGGAAAAACATTAGCCTATTTTTTCCCAAAAACTTTAGGCATCTCATCAGGGTCAAATTTGTTTTATATCGACCCAGTTGAGATATCATTAGCCCTAAATAGGATTCAGAAGGAGAAATTGAAATACTTTTTGATTCTATAAAAATAGTATAAATAGTTGACCACTTGTTAAAGAGCAGCCGAAACTGCATAAGTTAACGCAGCTGAAAAAACTCAGAGCTTTCATAAATCTTCAGAACTTTCTGAACGTCTCCGCATCTCAATCGAAAGGTCGGATGTTCGAGGTTCACCATGGTCCGTGCTCATTGGTTGAGGGTGAGGCAACATTACCCAGCCCAGAAAAATGGCCAAAAAAATTGCATGTAGCTCTTAAGCAGGGGCACAACAGAGGTTCTCCGTAATGAGATGTACAGCTCGGATGTTGGTTCTTTCCCTCGTGGAAAAGTGTCTTCTGATTGTTCAACCGATAAACGGCACAAATGATCATCGATACCCTTCATTGTTTTCTTGAAAAGGATTTCGGATTTATTTTTTGAGATTATTTTAAAACTTGAATACCGCAAAAAGTTTTTCAAAAAACAATGAAAAAGATTGTGGTTTCTATTCGCAGAGGATCTATCGAAGGCTACCCTGCCTGCTGAAGGATAGTCAGTTTCTCTTATTTCTCCACATTCCATCTAAGTTAGTTAGCTGAATTACTTTTCCCCACTCAAGCCCTTTTTTGGCGTGAAAGAACTTTCATGTGCTATTACTATTGCAGGCGAAACCGGTCAAGCTGCGTTCGAGGTTTTGCCTTTAGTCGCAATATCATTTTTTCGCCAAAAAAATATATTTGTCACAAAAATTCTGAATGAGATATTTTTCCCAATTTTGTTGATAGCGTAGTCCACACTGAAAACTTTTTACAAATGAAAAAGATATGATAATCTTCTTGTGATCCTATATTTAAAACTTTGACGCGTTTATAAGTGTTTATATGTATGATGATAACCTTTGATCTGTAAAAAAAACAGACCACGATTGATAAAATTGATAATGCTGTTTAACTGCAAGATTATAATCAAGTACGCAATGGGTTTTCTTACTGAAAAAAAACCTTGATTTTTGTGTTTTCGGACAAAACACAGAAAAAAAGTAGTAAAATGGGGAAAAAACATTCTTTGGTTTATAGAAATCTTATTGTCACACAAATTTCGAATATGGGAGATTATTAAAGATTTTATATAAATGTTGTTCCGGCCTTTGAAAATGGGGAGGAACTTTGTATTCGGGTGTTTTCGTTTTTTTTCCGTTTTCCACGCAAAATCAGCTACCAAAATATTCATCGTAATAAGTCGAAAAATGTACCAAAGTGAAGCCATTTCAGTAGTGATTACAAAATATCAAACATTTCTCAGTGTTGAGAAAAACTGGTTTGACATTTTTGGTCTAACTTCGAGCTAATAAGATGAGCATGCACGTTTATAATAGCTTACTTATACTTAATTTAGGCAGTGAAAAATAGTTTAACTCAAGTAAAGTTAGTTTTTGGAGTTTTTAACGCCACTATGTGAATCGAAAACTTTGAAATTCTATAACGAATTTTTTCTTATTTTCGACAAAAACTATGTTTCTTCAAAAACTATTTTCCAATTGGCCTATATTACTATTACTGTCGAATATGCCTAAGTTATATTTTTTCGTTCAGATTTGTTTATCACATCATGCAGAAAAACGACTTTAAATTGAATGAACTATTTTGTATTTTATAAGAATATGGCAAGAACATTCTGTGCTGCCAGTACAGTAACCGGTTATCCTTGTTTTCTCTTTAAAACTATTTAGAAATTGTATATTTAGAAACTTTGTTCAATCCGGATGATCAATTGAGGTCAACTGAGTTTAAAATCTAGTTTTCACAGAGGCGAAATTTCAATTCGCATACTCAAGCAAAATATGATCGATGGGAAAAGCTGAATGGGAAAAACTGAATGGGAAAAACTGAATGAGTAAAATTTTGAGTCTACGCAATTTGTAAAGTGACGCACGCCAATTATAGGCCACATAATTGGTAATGATGCAAACCGATTATGATGACGCATTAGCAGTACCAGTCAATTTGAAAGAAGATATTTACCAACTAACATGCCTCAATTCATAGAGCGGACGCATGTTAACTAGTATACGAAAAAAAATCATTGAAAACATCCGAACCTCCCAGGTTTCCTTTGTTGCGGGTCTCTTTCCCTACCTCTAAGCTACCGATCCAAGATACCTTAAAGTAAAAGTGCTATTTTTAATACAACAGTCTGTGTTAATATCCTTAGCATTAGCCGTACTCAATAGCTGATCATTGATCTTATGCACATAAGCACATACTGCAATAAAAGAACACTTTCAAAATGAACACTTATATTTACGACTTAGGTTGGAAAAAAAAAGAACGAGAGTGCATACTATCACACAAGCTTTGCTTGTGTAAACAGCCTGATAGAACTGCGGCATGTTAATCGACACGCATAAAACTTGATCAGTCCAAACGAGATACGATATCCGACCAAAAAATAGTAAACTTTTCCTGATCAATGCGAAATTTTTAATTTCAAGGTAGTTTTTCATTCGGGCCAGTTTTAGCGGCATAAAATGCTTCAATGATTGACATTTGATTAAAACCATGGAGGCGCTTCAACTAAACGGATTTGTCACAAATGGAGTTCAGAAGTAAAAAGACATTTCACCTCCGATTTTGTTAAGTTTCGGGGTTTTCACCGAAATTTTTCGTCCTAGATATCCATTTATTTGCCCACGAAGAGCTGCATTGTTCCGTTTTTTTATGTTCCAAACATATTCTTAAAAAATACAAAAACGTTGTTTCTTTTTTTTGAAATTAGTACCGTAGTGTAAATTTGTGAAGCACAACTCTGACAAATCAATTTTTTTTTGCTTTAAGCTCTGGGTATCAAAAATTCAATTTAAAATAAATCAAGTTTTTCAAAAACAGCATTTTATATAAGCAATTTTTTTTGGAGAAAAAGCATAGTCACAATGAGAACTCCTCGCATTCTTCGGAAGTTGAGGTATTTAAAGAGGACCTACTTACTTCCTATGAATGTATTTTGAAACGACGTAGTGACTTTCCCTCCCACTCTGGATGTTGTCGAACTCTCTGACTTCCACTAGTAACTCATTGACTGGAACAGAGGAGCAGATTGAGAGAAATATTTTTAAAACACATACACGTTAGAAAAACTTCATGACCTCAAGGAGAAAAAGAAGAGACTGCCTTACTTGGACTTAATGAACTTTATATATGGGTCTTTATAGACTAGATTGATGACGTATATTTCTTATATTGCTACAATTATTTGACATCTACTTTTATACTTATTCCTCGAGGTACAAGATAAATATTTTTGATAAAAACAAACAGATTTCTACTTTCTCTCAAAATCTTGACACGTTATAACAGTTGGGGAGCGGCGGTGAAGTGGTTACGTCTCCTCCTCTCAATCGAAAACTCGGATCTTCGAGGCCTACCATGGTCTGTAGGTGCTTGTTGCTTGAGGTTGAGGCAAAACATTACCAAGCCCAAAAAAAACTTGAATGTAGATCTTCAGCAGAAGCACAACAGCGGTTCATTTTTTGGGCCTTTCCGTTGTGCATAAATCGTCTTATAATTAAGCAGCCTTGTATCCAAAAAAATACATGTTTTTCTCAAAATCCTTCAAAGCAAACAACTGCTGCAACAAAAATTTCGAACAAACAACTGCTGCAACAAAAATTTCAACTGCTGCAACAAAAACTTAAAAATATCAAACGTTTTTTATACATAACATATTCCTTAAATTTACACAGCTTGTTTTCTGGTTCTCGCAAACACTATCAAGAACACGAAAGCAAGCAGCTTTATAAAGTGCTATCAGAAAAAAGAGAAATAAGCCTCGAGTTAGTAAAAATTCGACAAGGTCTCGGATTCGATCTCTCTCCCACCTACTGCGAGCTAGAGAAAAAGATTCTCACGCACAAAATCACAAACAATAGCCACAAATAAAACAGAAAAAAGATGCTATGAAATTTCTAATGCTGCGGATCGTACTAAGACACTAGCTGCTCGCTGGTGTAAAAATCCATTACGATTATAAAACTTCAACAAAAAATTCACAGCTGTTCCTTACCAAAAACTTTCCATCAAGCAAAGTATTTAATCAAACAGAAACAATAACCCCTTGTGGGTTGCGTAGCAACCGCGTATTTATACTCGTAAGTCGACATATACTGTATTAACTAATCAGAATCAACACATGAAGGCAAAAGTACGAAAATGTTCAATAATATTTATTTATTTCGTACTTTAGCTTTCTTGTCCCGACCCTTCGTTTAATACAGTATTTGTCTACGTACTGACGAGTATGAATAACGGATTGTATACATACTGCTACGTAACCCAACCAAAACTACATCGAGATCCAAGAACAACCAAACAATAACAAAGTTGCTTGTATTAGGGCGAAGCCCTGAAGGTTCCAACTGCCCTTCAACTGCCCCCCCCCCCCACACTACAAAAAGATGTTCTTAGCGTCTAGTAACATATTAACAACACCAAACACTATGCCTCAGTTCAATTCGTAACAATTTATTGGCGGATTAAATATCCGCTTGTGTTAGCAGCACAAAATATATCGCGCTTTAATCATCCCAAATTAGAGAAACTGGCAATTTTCAAACCGTCATAACTTTTCAAAAAAAAAACAAGTAAAATATTTTTTCAAATTTGAGCTCAGGACATCACTGACTTTGAGATGGTATAAAAACTCCGTTCAAATACGGCTAGTTAAAAACGTAATTGCTCTGCAGAAAAAAAAACACCCAGAGCACAAATATTCAGTCACTTTCTTAGAAGGTCGGAACATAAAGAACGACCTGATCAACTAATAAACAAAACTGCACACACCACTTCGGTCTTTGATTTTAATTGATTTGTAACTATATATTTGATGTGTAACTTTATATCTTTATACCGGTAACTGAAGATTAGAACTATGCTCAGTATTGAAACAGACAGTTATGTTGAACGTCACACATCAACAGAACAAACAAAACTCCTTTACGCTATATAGATTTTGATGACATTTTTGATTGAGAGCAAGAGCTATGAATTTAAAACTATAAGAACTCTGGAATTTGAACGTCAAGTTGCATGATTCCCTTATTTCCCATGTTGGTTTTGGAAAGCAGAAATGGCCTGTCATTTAGTAAATTAATGTAAGGGAACCTAAAAAAGTCAAATTATCAAAATAGAAAAACGAGCGTAAATTTTTTGGGGAAATTTTTTCATGGAAAATGAGCGTTTAATAAGTTTTAATCGAACAGCACAGTTAGCCGCCAACAAAATGAATGCATCAGATGCAATGGAATTACGCGTTTTTTGGCTTTTTTTGAGGTCAACAAAAAAAGTTCGACCAAATTTAGGAAATTTTTTGAAATCCATCCCTCTCAAAAAAATCCTGTACTCTCCCCTGAAAACGGCTTTTTCAAATCAAACGTAAGCAGGGAGTTGATGTGTAGTTGGAAAGCAGTCAATTGATCGCTGATCGATTGAAGTTTTTTATGTCGATAGTAAAATTTGAAAAAGTCGTATTTTTCAAAAAAAAAATTTGTTTGGGGTATCATTGCCTCGAAGAAAAATGTTACCAGGGTTGATGCTTCTCTGACTTTCTGTCTATATTCCAAAATATGTTAACTTTAGAACCTTTAAAATGTACGTAATTGCGTGTTTTTAGACATTTATAACAGAAAGTAGGCTGAATATGCGACTAATGCGGTCATTTTGTTTCACTGTGTTGCAGCGCAAATGTAAGCGAGAGTATAAATGCATATAAATGCACATGCATATAGGGCCAGTAGCCGAGCGTATACCGAGCGTTCGAATCCGAGCGGCAGTAGCCGAGCGTTCGAATCCCGCCTAGGTCATTTTCTTTCTAGAACTCAAATATGCCCCGAACTTAACCGTCTTTTCGCTCTAATTTGGTTCAGCCTTGATTAAAGCTGACCTTTAAAAAGAGCAATTTGTCTCAAGGACAAATACCGGCCATTTTTGCAGTTTGTTTTGAGTTATGCAGATGTTTATGGCCGATGTAACCGATGTTGAAGTATGAAAAAATTCGCTATATTAAAAACTTTCCTGAGCTATTTTACCGATAAAATGCTCGTTAATTCAATTGTTTGAAATCAAATTTTTTTACAATTCGTGGAGATTGACGCGCACAAACTGTGACACTAATGATTGGGTTGTGATATTAAGAATTTTGAAAATTATGAGCGTTGGAGAATCTGGCTATTGCTTCTTGATACTAGTTTCAATAGGTAATGGTAATAAACATGCTTCAGGTACCAACGAGCTAAAATCACCCCCATTACCCCATACCCTCTCACTAACCCAGACATTTTTGCACAGACATTGTTTTGAAGAAAATAATTTGCGTTTAAAAGAAACTAATTTTCTTACCATAGTAGTTATGAATACAATGCGCGGCTGTAAGGATCCAATTATTGGCTATTATAGACCCCCCGCAAAACAGTCCGCCCGATCCCAGAAGTCGCACCTTCACGAAGAAATTTCGGGGAGGACTTCTCACTCCATTTACTATGAAGTTATTCACAAGGTCACTTTTGTTTCGAATTGACACAGCTTCACCCCATGTAACTGCAGAAATGTTTGCAATTAGTTGAGTTGAGTAAGATACAAAAAATAACCAAAAGGTTGATGTTGGAATTTGCATTGTTGAGTTTCGATTATTTTTGAATAGTGACAGAAGGATAGAAGATATTAAGTATTGATTTACCAATTCAATTTCAACCCGCCAAAAACAAATATAAACATGACTTGTTCAGTAAGGTCCGATGGTTTTGTTTAGACGCCTTGTTGACACCAGGCCATTCAAGGTCACCCTAAGCATAGCATTCGCGAACTTTCACCTGGGTATCATTGCGTAGTCAAATCCTCGCTAAAGTCAACGTTAAATTGACCCTATGCATTCGCGAACTTAATATACGTTCAATTACAATATTGGCCCTATTATGAAAAAAAACGTGCTGCAGTTGTACGATTCGATCGTATTGCTCGAATAGTTTTGAATTGGTCACTGACGGGTGTAAATAATCATATTTGTAACTCAATGATTGTTCACCACGTTTCTGGTCGTTGAATAATAAAAACCATTGAGCAGCAACATAGAGCAGACAACGCTTGAGAGACAAAAAACATGGAGAGCCGGTTGCTGTGCAAGTAACACTAAATGTTCTTTTTTAACCACCTTAAAATGTTATTCCGTTTTTCGTCAAATTAGTGTCGTTTTTTTGCTTGGTAAGATAAGAGCACTATAAGAACACGTTGAAAGTTATCGTATTTGATTTTATCGAAAACAGTTGTCCACAAAAAGGAACAAAAAACTGAAAAAATCCAAAATTTTTCATTTTTTTGCACAATCACTATTTTTTAAAAATTTTCATTGCCAAGCAAGCTTTAATGAAGCTTCCAACTCCAGTTTACTTTTAAGTAAACTCAAGTTTTTTTAGCCTAAAAGACCATCTTTCTTATATAACGAACGTTACTCAATCGACTTTCTAGCTCAAAATTACACTACAACTCAAAAATTTCAGATCGGTTTTTCTCGACCCTGGGATATTTTGATTTTTTAAATTCCGTTCCAATCACAACTGAAAGAGCTTTAATGTGAGATATTACTCGGCTTAGTATAATTATTAGTTGAAGTTCCTGATTTTGCGTGGAAATCAAAAAAAAAAAAATCAAGACACACCTGAATACAATATTCGTCCCCATTTTCAAGGGTGGGAACAACGAAGAAAGCCGGTTGCTGCAAGATTATCAAAAAATGTTCCGGCGATGTTCAGAAAAGTAATGCAAAAAATGTTTTTTTTTTTCAATTTAGATTCGTTTTTTGTACGTGGTGTGATGAGGGAGAACTATACTAATGCATAGAAAATTAGCAAATTAGGTATAATTGACAACAATTGTCTTCACAAAACGAAAAACAAACAAAAAATGAAATACATTTTCAAAAATTTTCAATATTTATTCTAACTCTTGTGTGCAATATTTTTTGAAGTTTTTTTAACAAAAAATTGCCAAAGAAGCGCCAGTTGCAGCAAAACAAAACTAAATTTCTTGCAATTAAAATCAAAACTTCTTAGCCTAAATGACCTACTATCTTAAACAGGAACAAAGCACAGTTCGCACCGCTTGCGATAGAACGCAAAAATAGCATGAACAAAGAGCAGACAAGAAATGAGACAAATGCTGCTAAATAATTTTTTTTTCAAATATCCAGAAACGCTAAGTCTTCAAAAAAATTCTTATCTTTGTCTCTGTTTGTCAAGAATAAATTTCAGTTTTAAAACACATAAGAAACAAGACAATTGAAAGTAATTTTGTTTCGCACAATTCTTACGAAGCTGTAACAAAACCGACAATTTTTGAGCATACGCCCAATCAATAAAAAAAGGTTTACTTTAAAACATTTTTGGAAAATACTTAACATAAAAATACCCGCTCAAAAGACTCACACGCAAAAAAAAACTTGTTTTGTTCATCCAACGACTCAATATGATGATAATAAGCTGAGAAATAACCCGATAAACTTTTAAGCCGAGTAAACAAAAAAAACGAAAAAACAGTTTTTATACCAAGCCGGAGTTGGTTATAATGAAACCAACAAAAAACATTTATTGAAAATAACAGGTGTTTGAAATACAGACACACTCAACTATGTCTATTGGTTGACAGAAGTGCAGATTTGATAAAATGATTCAGTTACTTTGTTGGAAAAGCTGTTAACAAGAAAAAGTCTGCGTTCCGAATTGATAACGCCTGCTAATCGCGAGCATTATATTTACATGCAAAACAATTTATGCAAACTAACCGACGGAGAAAAAATTTCAAAAAAATTGCAATCAGAAATTCAGAAAAAAGCTGAAACTAAGCCGACAAAACAGACTGAAGATACTCCGAACAAGCAGGTCCCAGTCGGATCAAGCAAGTGTAAGTCTAGATGCGTTGGATAGCTGATTGATTTTGAATTTACTAGGAAGCAAGTTGAAACACGTGTTAATTACACATGCAGAATCTTGGAATAAATTTCTAAAGTCTAGTACCCGGTTGCAACACCCTTGCTTATCGCAAGGTATATAATGAACGTTACTCAATCACGTTACTAGCTCGAAACTACTGAACCATAGGCCGAATAATATATCATATTAAAATTCTTTCAGTCGCAACTTGAACGTCATTAAAACGTTTTTCAAGTAACTCAGTGCCGAGAAAACTGCTCTGAAATTTTGGAGATTTAGTCTAGCAGACTAACTCTAAAAAAACGTGTTTTCTCGACACTGGGACCACTTTATGAAAATTTTCAATGTCGTTCAATTCACAGCAAAAAGAGTTTTACACAGAGGCGAAGCTGCGCCTCGCAAACACTTGCGAGAAACTGACAAAAAGCAGCTCTATAAAGTGCAATAAAAAAATTTAGAATTTAGCCTCGAAATAGCAAAAAATTCGCCTGCTTCTGAGATTTGAACCTACGACCTAGAGATTAAGAGGCTCACACACTAACCACTTAGCCTAGGAATCTTAATCGTCTCCAAACGGTAGCCAAAACAAAACTACAGACCAGATGCTAAGAATATCGTGATTATAGCAAGAAGGCACACAAGTGAACACTTTCAAGGAACACTTTAATTAGCAAATTACGTTAGAAAAAAAGAAGGTTCTTAGTAACACACTAAGCAAGTGTAAATCTTATCTATCATTCGGCCTATGATTCCGATGCTTATAATTGTGACAAATGATTTTGCGTGGAAAACAAAAAAACATACCCTAATACAAAGTTCCTCCTCATTTTAATATGGTCGGAACAATAACAACAAAAAGACTTCACTATCATTGAACTTATAGCTGAGAGGCTAGCTCAGAGCCAACATTTCTTTTATGGAAATCGATCTCTTAATTCAGCAGCTTAAAAGCAAATTTAGGATACGAGTTTAAACTGATACAGGCATAAATAAACGAATTTAAGTTCTTAATTCAATGAGTCTAAGCTGACACAAATCCCCCGTCAATGTTAACATCACAGCCATTGATCATAGCCGCTCCGTCACTCAAACAAAACAAAATAGGCTTAACGACCTCGTCCACTTCAGCAAATCTCCTCAGTGGAATTTGCGACAACATACTCTCACTCTTCGACGGTTCAGACCAATTTTTTCGCCCCATATCTGTCATAACAACAGTCGGGTTGACGGATACGGTTCGAATCTCACTAGGACCCAATTCAAGCGACATCATTTTTGTCAACATATCGAGGGCTGCTTTGGTGCAGCAATACATTGTATGATCCTTAATCGGTCTTTTGGACGCTTGACTGGAAATATTGACAACAACTCCTTTGATTTTGTTTTCCAGCATTTTCTTGGCAGCGCATTGTGCCACGTGAAGACATGCTTTTACGTTCACGCCAAATACAGAGTCGATATCTTGTTCACTCACTTGCAAAAATGGACCACAAATGGCAATTCCAGCATTGTTGATCAAATAATGAAATGGTTCCAACTTCGAGAAAATGTTGTCGACCTCATTCCAATGGGTAATATCGAGAAGAATAGTTTCAATTTTAGTCGAGTCGTATTTTTGTTTCAATTTGTCCAAGTCGGCTTGCGTTCGAGAAATGGCGATTATGTAACAGCCCTGAGTAATGAGCCCATCGACAGTTTCAGCGCCTATTCCCTTACCCGCGCCCGTTACAACGGCACGTTTTCCTCTCAATTCAGGGTAGAAGACTGTTGCAGCAGTTGAAACTTCATCCATGATCTAAAACAGTTTATAAATGAGCAGTAGTCAGAATGTACCAATGCAATATGTAATATCAGAATTGCACGATTTGAACAATCAGAATTCTTCGTTTCTTGTGGGTTAAATTTATGATAAAATTTCTCCAAAGCAGTAGAGCATGAAGTGATGAAGTGTGTAGGGTGTCTCGGGTCCATTTAATGATATGGGTGACATTTGAGCCCACCGGGGTTTATATTACATAGAACCCAGTAGCTGAGTGAAATGAAAGAATGGAAATACTCTTTGTCCAGTTATGGAGGAAATTCTCTCCCCTCAATTGCTTTTTCCTAGAAGTCATTCAGAGCAAACAATCTTTGATTAATTTAATCAAACATGAGAAAGAGTCTATCGAAATGTTCTATATCTTCAAAACAATCGACAGTAGCTTTGATAGTCTGTTCGGAATTATGTTCACTCTTAATCATACCTCTTTTGGTCACAGAGTCTGAACAAAAACTGATTGGTTTGACAATCCACCAACCATTGGTTTTTTCAAAGTGTGCATCGACACGGAAAAATAGTTCTTCACATACAAAGGAGAAATGGCTAAGAAATCTACAAAAACAAAAAAAAATACTTCAATTTTTACTACTGACGTTCAGAGCAATGACCAATTGAATTGTAGCATACAGGCTGTTAATTTTTATAAATCATTATTTAAAAAGCTTTTGAACGCAGCATTAAGCAAAGCTTAAACATAATTTAAGGCCTTAAAAAGCATTAAATAGGAAATTTCATCACTGCCGCATCATCAAACTAGCTTGTGTTATGGACTTTTTTTTACAGCAATTTCCGTTTCAAAAAAATACGTCGGCGAAACAATTATTTTCAAAATTGAATACTTTTATAAATTTTGTTTCGTTCACCACGCTTTTTTGCTCATAAAAGGTAGCTTTAAAGCCAAAATATAAAAGTGCATACTTTCCCCCGCTAACTTACGAAAGCAATAGCCGCTTTTTAAACTTACGAAAGCAATAGCCGCTTTTTAAACTTACGAGAGCAATAACCGCTTTTTAAACTTACGAAAGCAATAGCTGCTTTTTAGCTAGATTGATTACTTTGCACATTTGTTCCATTAAAAGATAGATTGTTGCTAGTTTATTTTAGACTGTGACAAGACATAAAAATCGAACTTCATTTTAATTTCTGATCTGATGTCAGAGCCTTTAAAAACTGAACACAGAAACTCTACTCTAAAACAATCAGGTTAGAAACAAATGCATTACTGCTAGAGTAAGTATGCTGAAATCAGAAAAAAAAGAGAGATTAAGTTCTTAACATTTTCTGGCTTATTTCAACATACCCCCAAAAAAATGGCGCTTACAGCTATATGACCTTCAATGTAGTATCTCATTCATGAAAAATTCTGCCCTATAGTCATGATTAGATCCCCTCTAATTGTGTTTTTAAATTATTATATGCCTGATTAAAGCTTAAGCTTATAGATAATTTCTACTTGAACTTTCAGGCACAACAAACCATACTGAAAAACGAACGTCATTAGAAGTAAATTGAGCCCAAAACAAGAACGCAGACGCAAAACCTTCATCAGAACAGAAAAACGTCATTGCCGCCTACTTTGAAAATCAAACCACGCAATTACAACTAGCCATTCTAGCTTGTTATTCACTTTTCAACCTATCAGTTATAAATTAGTTAAACTCAAAAAAAATTGTAGACAGAAGAAGAAAAAGAATAAGATGTCATCAATGGTCAGCGATCAGGGAAAGTCGGGAGACCAGAACTTCGACTACATGTTCAAACTCCTCATCATCGGCAACTCCTCGGTGGGTAAGACCAGTTTCCTCTTCAGATACGCCGACGACTCCTTCACATCTGCATTTGTGTCAACAGTGGGAATAGACTTCAAGGTCAAGACTGTGTTTAGAAACGACAAGAGGGTCAAACTTCAAATATGGGTCAGTTTTACATTTCAGCCATATGCTATAATCAATAACTATAAACCTCGTTATAATTTATTAGAGCGCTATTGTCCCGTAATCAAAAGTTCACATCTAGTTTTTTATCCGATTCATAAAACAATTTAGCTTGTAACAGTGACATCTTTGAATATTTGCCTACTTACATTAGTTTTATTGATTCATTTCAATTTCGACTTCAATTTCAATTGACTAGAATTTGACATCTTCTATCCTATTTTCTTTGATATTAATTTCTTTTTGTTCTTTCTTTGCTATGACGTCTGAATCGCGATGAAGCACTCACCGGAACTAAATGTGAAAACAGATATTTTTAGTTTAGACTGTCTAAAAACCGGGGTGAAAACATGACATTTTCAGTATATTGATAATTCCAATAAAATACTCTCAGGTGCTGTATTGTCGCCCCCCATAAAAGATTTTGCCTCGGAAATTAAGTTTCCACTATACTTAAGGAAGCCCTTATCAAATTTAAAAAAAACATTGTCAACACCGGCGATTGATCCAGAGACCTGTCATCTCCCAGATTCAAGGACCCAGATTCCTGTGAAGAAAAAAAATACGGAGTCAATATGCAAAAACCTACCAAATAATGTTGCATCTCATATTTGTCTTTAAGTTTGCAGCTTTGACAGTTGCTGATCAGGATTTTCTCGAAAGGGAGGGGCAGATTTTCGAAAATTTTGTCGACCTTTTTTAGGTTGAGCAAATTGATTTTTCGAGCACTCCCAGAATACTTTCTTTAGTTAACCAGCCAGAGGCTTGAGCCGAAGGTTAATTATTTTATTTAAGGTTAACTAAGTTATGGCTATCTTCCCAGAACTCACCTTGTAAATTGCAGCGCATGTGCGATTTGAACCCGCAATCATATGATTACTCGACACCATCACTACCCATGCGCTACAACGCCACCCTATTTTGACATACTGTGAAGCCCCCATTTTGAAAAAAATTGCGCCGTTCATGGGAAATTTTTGGAAAATTTTAAAATTGAATTTTTTCGCCGCGCGCTTCGATTAGGTCATATATTGAAAAGGCTAACAAGCTCAAAATAGTTGCAACAGAAAAGTCCAGTAGATGAATGAGTCCAGGAGAACAGTCCTGTGAATAAAGTTATTTACGGGAAATAGTCAAGTACCCGATTGTAATACCCTTGCTTAACAAAAGGGTAAAAATGGGTCAATAAAAACTTTGTATAAAATTTGTGAAACAAATTGAGTCAAAATGGGTGAAACGAGCAATTGAACAAGAACCAGACAGATAAAAGAAGTTGAACTGTTTTAGGACACGGCGGGCCAGGAGAGATACAGGACAATCACAACTGCATACTATAGAGGAGCGATGGGCTTCATCCTTATGTACGACATCACCAACGAGGACTCATTCAACGCCGTCCAGGACTGGTCAGTATTCAACCAATCAGATCCTTTTTCAGCTGCACTAGACCCCAAAGACAGTTTGACACATACATACAACCTATCTTAAATGAGCTAAATTTCAAAAAAATGAGCTAAATTTCAAAAAAAAGAGCTAAATTTCAAAAAAAAAAGAGCTTAAATTCAAAAAAGTTGCCCGCGGTTAAGAGGAACTGCAAGGCAACGGCTGAGAAAACTGTCATACGTGATCGTCTGTTCAACGAAATAATTCTGGATTCCGAGCGAATCGTCAAACAAGGAACTGAAGTTCTATAAGTCAATAGAAGAAGCGACTGTTCTATACATTAACTCTTCACCTCTCTTTACGTATAGCTAGCATTTATTATTCTGTACCATTTTGGTGGTACTAAGTTTTCAAGTTCATCTGACTAACAATATAATATAAACACATATCAAAGATAAATAGTTGAAGTTCATGGTTTGGTCTACCCGGCCGGATGACAATACCATTGTCTTTTAAATTTTCATGATCAAAGATCAAATAGTAGACAACTTAGATAAGAAAGCAGTCGACAGAATCATGGAAAAAATTGATCAATTCATATCTTCTCAGATAAAATCTTCTTTTCACCAACAATATAACGAAAGTAATCGCAAAGAAGAAAAAGTTGTGTTCAAAATACAATAGCATAACTGAAGAATGTAGAAAAAGTCTCAAAAATGTAGATGTTCAGAATTCAAAGTGGAGGAGTTAAACTCATTGAGTCAGAACATTTCATGTTCATGTTCTGCAAATTCGAATTGAGAAATAAATGATAGAAGGAATCTTTCGAATTGTTTATTTCGAAGGTGTTTTATGTATATAGCAGAGATGATTTTTAATTCATAGGATCACACAGATCAAGAACTACTCGTGGGACAATGCACAGATCATCCTGGTGGGCAACAAGTGTGATATGGAGGACGAGAGGGCAGTGGTGCCGGACAGGGGCAGACAGCTGGCAGAGAGCCTCAATGTAGAGTTCTTCGAGACCAGCGCCAAGGTCACACATCTCACATACCAAACTCAAGTTTTGATTCCTCATTTTCTAATATTTGAAACACGCAATGTTTGCAATCCACTTATCAAAACAACATTTATTCGTATTTTCAAACCTACCATTTGCTTTCGTTACTGGAGGGCGTAGAAATGAACTTAAAAAGGACTTGAAAAAGTCAACTATAAAAAAAGTTTGAGCGGGAACAAACTTGAACAAACGTGAACATTTTTTCCTGAAAATCTGCGACCTGAATACGAGAAAAAAAAACAATTTTCGACCAATTTCAAAGGTCTAACTTTTAGCTTAAAAGCATGCAATTTATCCCATCATTGCAATTACATATAGCGATGCTATCGAAGCTAGTTTAACATCTAATCGATAATCTCCTGTAAGAACGCTTGTAACTATGCACTAGTAAACTCGAAGCAACTTTATGCTGTCCGCTAGACAAATATGTTTAGACATATACTTTAAAAACATAGCCAACTGACAGTTGGAAAAAAGTAATGAACACATTGAAACTGAAAAAAACACTACTTGTCTTAAAGAAAAAAATAGATGGCCTTAAATAGATGAACTTGTAGAGCAGTTTATGATTGGCATTTGTTCGATAAATTTTACCCTATTTGAGAAAAATGGATCGATAAGTATTGCGCTGGGAAATCTGAAAATTCAATTCCACTTTCGAAACTATAAGTCAATCACGTTTTTTGTGAGCTTTACACTTTTTCTGCTCGATTGAGTTTGCCTTCCTTTTAACAAAGGAAATGAACTGAACTTAAAAGTAAATCAAAAGTCAAGCCGCGAAAAAGTGAATTTGAACCTGAATAAATTTCAAGACTTTTCCTGAAAAAAAACGAAAAAAAAAAATAGCAAGACCGATAAAAGAGTACTCAATATACTATGTTCATTACTCAATATAATATTTAGGCATTACATTATAACTATAGTAGACTAGCATTAAAATTTTTTAAATCTCATTTGCAATTAATCCCCCTATTTATTCACAAAAAGAAAGTTACAGACAGCCCTTTTACACAAAATATCACTTGACCCAGTAAAAGACTTCTTAGCGGCACCTGATTTTAGAAACCGAAACATATTTTCCACTGCTTTATCGAAACAATAAAAGCGCCTGATTAGCCTTCAATTGCTTTTTTTTTCTGGATACTACATGATCACGATAAAATAGAATCTTTTAAATTACCAAATTCAGAAAAATGAATTAAACAGTTTCTAGTTTTTTTTACAAAAATGTCTACTACAACTATATTACAGACAAACATAAATCTACACAGAACCAAAGCAGAGTGCCACAGCACTTGCGACAAAAAAATATATACTTTGTGTATAAATATAAGAAAAAGGTCAATTTGAAAACCACAAACACAACATATTTCTTTTTTTTTTGCATAAACTCAAGTACTCTGAGACTACTCACGATCAATCTATTCAGTATTGCATTTTGAAATCAGGAAAGCTTCTATAATAGCTCAAAACACGGGAATCATTTGCGAACCAGGGGGAAATCGATTTTTTTCTCAAAATTTGGTATTTAGCCTTCAATGGTCAATTTGATATACACAGCTCCAATGGTTGTTTTCCTAAAGAAACGAGTAAAATGTACAAAAAATAATTCTTACCTTACATCGAAACAAAAATTATACAAAATCCATATTGGTGAACCTTAGCTGACAAAAATAAGCAGACAAACGATAGCCCGACAACTATAATTTTTCTGCAAACTTCAATTTCCAAAGCTCTAATTTGTAAGAAAAAACTTCTACCCGAACTCGAAACCCAGACAGATGTCATCACAAGCGTGTGCGTTATCTATCTTATAAGCGTGCTACAGTAGTAGCAGCAACTTGAACTAGAATAGGGACGCAAGGGTGAGAAAATTAAAAAAAAAATTCTTTAAACCAATTTTTTTCAACCGAGTTTCAAAAAGGCAAAAAAAAACTGATAAGGTGATTGCTCACTCTTTATTCATTCATGAAACGACGGCGTTTGCAATACACGTTGGAGGAGATTCAAAACTTTCAAAATTTCAAAGAGAAACAGACTATCAATAACTTTAAATTTTAAACGTTCTTGTATTACCGCGACAGGGCAATACAATACCACGATACAATATCTACCGCCATACAATACTTGTTCTCGCTAGAATTCTTAGCGAGAAAAACCAAGGTCGTAGTTTTCTGGCAACTTTCTGGTGAACGAAGAACAGTGGGTGAAAAAAATCTACAAAGAAAAACGATCTGCCATAAATTTCGGTATTTGAAAACAGAATTCGATGTCATAAAATACGCAAAATGAAAACATTAATAAATCAATTTTAAACCAGCGCCTGAACAACTTGTGAACTTCTTTGTTTCGATCTTTTAGTTTTTTGACTTTTTCACACACAGTTCTTCGTTCACCGAAAAATTCATTAGTTGCAACCTTGGTTTTCTCGCTATGAATTCTAGCGAGAACAATACTTTAAGATTTGAAGAACTTGTTTTTTTTTTTAAATTGAAAGTTTTGCATTTTTCATAGACTAGATAAATCATAACTTAGGAACATCAGCCAATTCAGGGCATTTTTCAAAATATTTTTTTTAAAAAATGTTTTGAAGAAAATGCAGTAGGTTTTCCAATCCACTTAAAAATGCACTATTTAAAAAGCTCTGCAAAACCCTACTTTGAAAGATGAAATACTTAAAAAGAGCATTTTTTTCATAACAGAATACCTAGCTCATCCGATCGATTTTTTTTTATCAGCCCCCGGCCTGCTCATCGATCGATCGATCATTTCTTAGGAATGCAAATATGAATATTCTAATCGCAAGACCATCCTACCCTTTAGGATAAAGATAAGATATCTTTATTTAAGAGGACGCATTAAGAGGAAATTTAACTCTATGCATGAGCTGACATGACAACGTTAGCTAGATCGTCCAATTAGAGGCGCTATTTCGACCTCAATATCTCGTCTGGTGATCCCTTACCCCGCGAATCGCCCACAATTTGAGGAAGCATCATCATAATACACTCGGGAGAATTTTCAGGGCATAAGATACCCGTGATCAACTTGAATGGCGATTAAAACCTTGTTTTAAATCCTATAAATAGAAAACGCAGGGAGCGTCAGTTGAGTTTTCCCCTTTTCCTTTTGCTGCAGACAACATTTGAGCCTTTGGGATTAAACGATTCAAATTTAATTCAAATTTACATAATTATCAGCCCAGCATGTCGTATATATTCGCCTTTCCAACTATTTAATTTTCAGCTACAAAAAAAAGATTAACAGAAAAAGTATTATGAAGTAATTACAATACAGAAGGGAAATGAAAGAAACTAAAAATGGTTCCATGAACAGTCTCAGTGAATCAAATCGCCCCTAAACGTCGCCCACCGAAACACATTCGTGTTTTTGAAAATAAAATTTTTGTGGACAACTTTGATTTTCGACGATTAAAGACTTTTTAGATTCATATATGAAATGTTTTTTTTTATCAGAAATCAGGTCGGAAAATTTTACAGGAAAATTATTATTAAATTCTGAGTCGGAACTTTATCTTAATCTTAAAGATTACAAACTTTATTTATAGGACAACATAAACGTACGCGAGACGTTCGAGCGACTAGTAGACATAATCTGTGCCAAGATGTCTGAGTCCCTAGACAATGACCCCAGCCTGACAGCCAACAAGCAGGGGACACGCCTAACCGAGACACCCATGCAGCAGGCTCAGAACAACTGCAACTGCTAATTAGCCGATTAACACACAGAGCTCAAATAGCAGACAAACCGCCAAACTAACACAGAAAATTTCAACGCCAACCTTTCAGCTTAAATCAAGGCGCTCAAAAGGTAAAATTTGTCTTTTAAAATTTTTTGTTATGTCATCTTAATTTTTGCAACCTCAAAAATAGATTAAAACCTCAATTTATTGTGACCCTAGCCAGACTTCCATTAAGGTCACAATGAACTCTTTCTCCTAACTTGACTTTTTTGGCTGCAAGCAATTCAATTAGAGAAAACTCGTAGCAAGGTACAATCTTCACATATAGTTGACGTTGAACTAGTTCTTTATTATAGGTGGCAAATATTTACTAGGCACCATAGAGAGAAATAATTAACAAAATTCAAAAAGAGAGCTTTTAAATTTTTAAACCTTTTTCAATCGAACTAGTTGAAACACAGACAATAATTTTCAGTTTTCACCAATCCTGTTTTTTATCGCCATCAGCAATCAAATGAGACAGCTAATAATTAAGTCACGGTACAAACAACCAGAATGGTATTTGAAAAAAAGACTTGCAATTTTCACATATCAAAGATACCACGAGATCCAACCTGCAGCGATTGTTAATTAGCTTTTACTGCTTTGCAAAAAAATAATTTTTTAATTATTCAGATTTTAATTGCGCAGAAAAACTTTTAAGCTTGCCGTGAGCAGACAAACGGTGTATTATTTATTCAAGAAAGCAGCCCGAGATCTCAAGAGATTTTATTTCTGATGTCCAACCAACAAAAATAGAAAAATTTGAAAACAGTTTAAAAAATGCTATCTTCCATAAATTTCTATATCTATATTATCTACTCTATATTTACTCTAGATCAACTAAGCGTTCAAAAACAAATAAAAGCATTCGTTCGAAAGAACTTTCTGTTCAATTATACAAAAAAAATTTCCATTCACTACTTTTTCGCACCAAAGAACTGAATTAAAACAATACAGGAAACTTCGTATAAAAACTCTTCCACCAAAAATCAAATTACCTAAGTGATTAGGGTATTCGGGATAGCATAAAACTCCAATAATTGCTTTCTTATAACTCACAAGGGAAAAAGAGAACATGAAAAAAAAATCTTTCAAAAAATCGCAGAACAAAAGTTCCTAAATTAAAACAAATTTATTACTAAAATTTTTATACGAAAATCAACCTTACTTTTATCAGAAAAATATTTAGTGGTTTAAAAACTCCTACACATTGCTTATTGTTTCCTTTGCAGAAAAATTTGAAAGGTGCAGAAAAATATGAAAACTAAGAAGTTATTACTTCAAACAATTCATGTCATTTTAAACATAAACACAGAAGCGAAGCCGAGCTTGGCACCACTTGTAATACAACAAGTAGACGGTTAAAACAGCATGATGCTCAAGAACTACGAAAAAAGAACTAAAAAAAGAACTAGAAAAACGGGACAACAAATCAGAAGTTATTTAAATGTTCAAATTAATTGAAGTTCTTCTTTAAAGAGGTCCAAATGGTGTTGATTTTGAGCATTCAAAACCTAGGCGCCTGAATCTTATCCATTTCATAAGCAACATCAAAAAATCGTTGAAAAAAACTATTTGGCAAACAAGCCGGCAGAATTAAAGCCGACAACCCTAAGCTGAAAATAAATCAAAAATTTTCGGCAAAATAAAATTGATGAAAAATTATATTCTGCCCACATAAAATGCTCGAGTGCCATTTATGTACTGAATGCATCTATCAAAATCTAAAACGATAGTTTTGAAACCAAAACATGCCCAGAAACAGTAGGATGCAAAATTAGTATCGCAAGAAAACTTACCAAACATTAGCAAAGCCGAAAACAACCGAGCAGAAACCATTTGCCTCAAAACACACACACAGAGCACAAAAAATTTTTGCTCGCCATAAGGCGCGATATGAGGCCATTTAAGTGACATTAAATAGACTGAAAAATATTAGGTCCAAAAAACGAAACATAAAACAGAAGCGAGGAAACGACAAAAAAGCAGCTCCAAAAAATGAAATCAGCATAAATAAAAATAAGCCTTGAAACACAAAACATTTGTTGAGGTCGAATCGATCCTAAGACCAGTAGTTTTGGAGTCCTTTGTCCTCATATCTGCACCAATGGCCTTTGACAATTTCCTTACAATAGCCACAAAATAAGCAGTTATATATGCTAATTAATAGCCAAGGCGATAAAAAAAACGCACCAAATCCAAATAGACACTATTTTGCATATAAAAATTAGGAATATAACAAACTTAAGGCATCCACACTGACTTTGCAAGTAGTAAATTGGAAAGCATAGAGCCAAATTGTATATGAGCCAAATTGTGCATTTCAAAATATTGTGAAATACTTTGACATGGAAAATTTTTGAAATAGAGCTTTTATTATTGTACTGTTGAATGAAATAAAAGGCCGTTGATTAAGGCCATTGCTATCAAAAATTTGTACAAGAGCCACCAAAAGTGGCAACAAAGTATGCGAATTGGGTTGGAGAAAAGAATGTTTGAACTATTAAACTGCGCTCGCTATAGCTTCATAGTGTAAATGACAATCGATTGGGAAATTAAAAAGCTAACATAAAAACCAAGATTCAAAATGGACGTATCAGACAGAAGCGAAACGGAGCTTCGCATCATTTGCGATAAAACGAAAGCGTATCATCACAAGCTTACAAATAGACAATGAGAAAGAAATAACTACGTCGAAAAAACTTTTATAGAAATACAAACAATTCAAAATCAGAAAAAGAGACGAGAATAACAACTACTAAAATTACATAGGCATTTAGTATTTTCTGACTTTTAACTAAGCCAACAACTTGTGGTTAGACACCAATTGGTCCGAAAAAAAATAAGCGAATTGGTCCAAAACAGAATATTCTGTTGGCATACAAAACAACTTGAAAAAAAATCAAATTTTTGGAAAACAAAAAGTTAAATCAGAAAAAAAAAAACAAAAGAGAATCACAGCCACAAGCTTCAAAAAACGTTTAGCATTTTTTGTGCGTTCACTAAGCCAATAACACGTATTTAGACGCCAATTAATTCAAAAACAAAAAAACAGGAAATTGTTGTCATAAAAAAAATCAACCATTTTTTGGAATTATAAAAAATTCAATCTCAGAAAAATAGACGACAAACCCAACCACTAGCATTAAACAAGCTTTTAGTAATTTTCGAGCGTTTACTGAGCCAACAACACAAATTGAGACGCCAATGGATCCAAAACAGAAAAATGTCACAGAAATTGTTGTCAAAAAAATCAACAATTTTTTGGAAATATTAAAAATTCAATCTCAGAAAAATAGACGAGAAACACAACCACTAGCATTAAGCAAGCTTTTAGTAGTTTTCGACCGTCCACTAAGCCAAAAACACAAAATTAGACGCCAAATAATCCGAAAACAAAAAATGCCAACAAAAAGTTTCATCGAAAAAACTTTGAGTGATGAAAAAGTTTCAATTTTTAATTTTTATACTGACCTGATTTTCTCAAAACAAATATAATAAAATTTATCCTTGAGCCGATGCAAATTAAATTGACAAAAAAATGATCCGAAAATTCTAAGGGCGTATGAAATTTCAGCGCTAAAAAAGTAGAAAACATGCCAGTCACGGGTAGTAAAATTTAAAAACTACCGTTTATCAACGACACTTGAGACTACCATGAAAACTACATACAGCGCAAAAAAAATCGTGGTGCAACAACTAAGCCTACTAAACATAAGTTGACAAACTAAAGTCCGAAGACTCATTTTTTCCCAGAAAAAATTCCAATTTCAGACACTGAAAAAAAAAACAAGGTCCGAACGGTACTCGAAACCCAGACCATAGAGTTGAAAGCAACCGCATTGCATCCAGACCAAGAGAGAAGGACAAAGAGGTGAGAGAGTCCAGGAGTGAGTACTGTGAACAGAGCTATTTACGGGAGAAAAAGTAGAACCCGATTGCAATACCCTAGCCTATCGCAAGAATAAACATATAACCAACTGGAAATCACATGAACAGAAAATCAAAAAACGACGCCCGATAATGGAAAAACAAAATTTAAAAAGGTTTGCGAGACAAAACTAAAAGAAAAAGATGGAAAATAAAACCAAATAAGGAAAAAAAAACTTTCAAAAACTTAATCAAATTCATTTGTAAAAAAAAATTGAAACCTCAAAGAGACTAAATGTTTCACATCAAAACTTGAAAAAAAGTCTCATATCAAACAATAACAAAAATTCAAATCAAATGATATCAACTATCAAAATAATTGAAATTAAGTAGTCAAAATTTGCTCGAAACTATACCGAGCACAACTATTTCATCTTTTTTTTTGATGAAAAGTGGAACATAAGCAATTAAGCGTGTAATCATAATAAAATCTGACGCTATTTAATTGAAAAAAAAAACACTATATAAGCTACTGCAACTGACATATGGAAAGAAAATCAGAAAATAGGTCAAAAAATTTCTAAACGAATCTCATGAATCCGAAATGAAGACGAGCCATTTTTTCAGGAAGGTTTTCAGTATGCAATCAAAACAAAGTAGTCTGATTTGTCAATATCACGCTGTGATAGATAATGTAGTTGAAATTTAAAAAACCGATGTGACGCCGTCAAAAATTGAAACCAAAACCACAAATCGGAAGCAGTTCGATTTTTTTATTAGAGTTTGTGCGAAAAAACTTGAATAAGATTAAGTACTACTCGCAGCCGGAATCAAATCCAGCAGGTCTGTTGTCCCAGCATGGCCCTAAGCTATAATGCAAGCAGAAAACGCACTTGGATCTGAATTTTGTTGAAGCAAAAACAATATTGAAACAATATTAAAACAATATTAGTGCAAAATAATTTCGTCACTTTGTTTTGAACAAATACTACTGAAAAATACGTGTTTGAAACAATAATTTTTTTGGACATTGAGTTGAGTGGTGGTTTGCTTAGGGAGAGTTTGAGAGGCTGTTTAAATTTCAACTATAAGTCGTTTTCGTTTTTTCATTACCAATGTTTTTTTTAAATTGTGTTAGTGATTTTTTCAAACGTTTTATAGGGAATGGCGAAGCTTCAAAAAATTAGTATTCAGAGATTTTTTCTTTTCTTTACTTTTGACGGCATGGTGAACACCAGTTATCTTTTTGAACTTTCTGCGCTCAAAAATAGCGTGAACACCAAAAAATTCTGAGACCGATCTTTCTCGACACGTTCTTCAACAACTTTTAGGTAATTCCTTGACGGCTATTCTGGGCTTTTTCACAAAGCCACTGTTTTGATTGGCGACTAAGTGAATGGCATAAAATGCGATTTATCATTTTGAACGAGAAAAGCAACGAATTCATCAATTTAAACGTTACTCGAGCTATTTTCAACTAATTCTTGAAACTTAGGATTGATAGCGACCGCTCTCCCGAACCCAAACACAAAATAAAACCAAAACTATACACACCACATTTATTTTCTCGAAACACTTTGGCAAATACAACTGTTCCTAATTTCTATGACTTTAATTAACTAATCGGGTTCAATTTTAAGTCTTTAGAACAATTCTTATTAGCAGATAGCATCTATCTGATTACCTCCAGATGCGAAAGTAAGTCTTATTTTTCATACTTTGGGTTGTTTGTTTCAGGGCAAATGACAACAAAAATACTCCTTCAGCTCAGAATCCGAACAAATTTACAACTTAACTTGCTCAGCACACATTTTTCTTTTATACTGAATCAATCACGCAATTTTCCTCTGGCAAACTGACGATTCTAGGACCAATATCCGAGAAAGCAATTTTCCGCCACAATTCTCAAAAATTCTGCATTCTATTTACATTCAGTCGTGCTGTTGTAGTCAAATCTCCGTATAACTTGTCATAGCATGTCACATTTCCAGTAGATTGATGAGAAGTCGTGAACAGTCGATGATCAAAGTATAACCCTTCTTCTATTCTTGTATACTTATTGTGATATACTAGATATCATGTATATAGACCCACTCAGAAGCTATAGAAATATATTGTCTGTATGCCACAATTTATTCATTTCCAATTAAAATGTTTACAATGATTTTCATTGTCTCGAAGCAGTAGTGGATTCAGGGTTGACCACGCCCTTCTTGGTTTTGACCCTTTCTTTGGATATTCAAAGAGAATCAATAAAACTACCACAGCGTATCCAATTTTGATCGAACGACCCTAAAATTTGAGAGTCATATGAGCTTCAGGCTTAAAAAGCATATTTTTTACACAGGCGAAGCTGTGTTTTGCTTGGACAAGCTAATGTAAAAGAGGCGTGCGTGTAACTCAATCGAGGCGAAACGGATCAATATCACTTAACAATATCGCAGAGCAAAATCTTTTCGCTCTTCAACAGCCATACCCAAAACATTTACACAGAGACAAATCGGAACTTCGCGCCACTTGCGAAACAAAACAAATATAAAAAACAAAGTCAAAAAAATTAACTAGGTCTACCATAATATAAATTTTCGTGAGTCTTGTTGGAAGTTCATTTTAGGCAAAACTGCCAAACATTTGAATATAAAATTACCAACAGAAGCAAACTTACAACGAGGGAACGAAGTCGACAAATTTTTAGCAGAATCAAGAGGGCCAAAAAAAACAATAATTTCATTTAAAAACACTTCAAGTCCCCTGAAACTATATTGAAGACTTGCAATTGCAACTACAAAAAAAAATTGCTTAGAACACAAGCAAAATCCGTGACGTGGCAAGTAAGCCCACAAGAATTGAGCAGACAAAAAGAAGTCCGAAAAATCAATTTTTAAAGGAAAAATTCAATTACATACATACTGAAAAAAAGGTCCGGCCGGGACTCGAACCCCCTGACCTTAGGATGCAAAAGCGACGTCGTTACCTATAGGTCAAATCGGAGCGGTCTTGAAAATTCTTAAGCATCAAAAAAGCAAATACGATTTTTAAGAAACTTGTTTACGGCAAAAAATATATAGTTCCCGATTACAAGTGTACTGAAATCAAAATGACTTAATTTTAGCAACAGTTAATCGAATCTGCATAAGAAGCCTGCGGTTGAAACAAAGCCGACAAAGCCTAAGCGGACAGATAAATGAAAAGTGAATTTTTCTAAGAAACAGCAACAACAGGAGTACTAATGAAACTACAAAAAGTACTGTAACATCAACCAATAATCCAAAACTTTAATTTGAATTTTCACAAAAATTGAGACTGCCAGCACGTTACAGTAGCACACATGCTGTTAACTATTTAAGTGATGTTTTTACACAAGTTATTAACCTGAAAACAGTCTATGTTCCTATTTGATTACGTTTAAAAAACTGCAAAACACACTCAATCATTGTTAGCCAGCACTGTGAACTTATACAAGGTTTGAAAAAACAAAAGGTTTGAAAGCCATAACTCTTTGAAAGACATTGAAAAGGGAAATTTTGAGTCCTTTTATTGTCTTGGCGATGCTTGGGATAAGAGTAGCGAGAGGGAACTAAAGGACAGATCCAAACTTTAAAAAAAAAATAAACTTGGTGAGACAAAATAGCTTCAAGAAGCGTGAATTGCCAAATGCTAATATGATCTATGCACCACCCCATATACACAATATGAGTCGAAATTGAGCTAGGTTGAAAAAAGGAAAAGAACAAAACTAAAACAAAAAGTCTAAAACTTCAATTACTGCTTTAATTTTAACAAAGTTAACTTCAAGAATAAGCCTAGCAAAGTAAATCTAAAGCAATACTTTTTTATTGGAAAAAACTTTAAAACTTGATAACGAAAAACGCTTCGAATCCTGACAATAAAAAAAAACAAAAAACGAAAAACTTTGATTATATGTCTTTTTGAAATGAATCAGTGCAATTGTAAGTTTTATTGAAAATGAGCAAGTTTTCTCGAACTTGTATAAATCTTTTGATTTTTGTTTTTGAAGTTAAAAAAAAACTTTTTCAATTAACATTACAATTACACTGATTCAATTTAAAAAGACAAATATTCAAAGTTTTTGGTTTTTTGTTTTTCCATTGTCAGTGTTCGAACTTTAAAAACAGCAATAAAGCCAACCGAAATTAGGTAGAAAAAAACAGTCCTTCAAACCGAAGAAAACCTTAGTGACACAGAGGCGAAGTTGTACTTCGCAAACACAAGCAAAAATATGACCGATAACGCTACTGGGAAAAACTGAATGAATAAAACTTTGAATCTACATAATTGCTAAGTGACGCAAGCCAATTATGAAGCATTAGCAGTACCAGTCAATTTGAAAAGAAATTTACCAACTAACATACCTCAATTAATACAGCGGACGCATTTCAACTAGTATAGGAAAAAGTTCATTAAAAACATCCGACCCTGCCCAGGTTTCCTTTGTTGCGGGTCTCTTTTCCTACCTCTACGCTAACGATCCAAGATACCTTAAAGTAAAAGTGCTATTTGTAATACAACAGTCTGTGTTAATATCCTTAGCATTAGCCGTACTCACTAGCTGATCATTGATCTTATGCACATAAGCACATAACTGCAATAAAAGAACACTTTCAAAATGAACACTTATATTTACGACTTAGGTTGGAAAAAAAAAGAACGAGAGTGCATACTATCACACAAGCTTTGCTTGTGTAAACAGCCTGATATAACTGCGGCATGTTAATCGACACGCATAAAACTTGATCAGTCCAAACGAGATACGATATCCGACCAAAAAATAGTAAACTTTTCCTGATCAATGCGAAATTTTTAATATCAAGGTAGTTTTTCATTCAGGCCAGTTTTAGCGACATAAAATGCTTCATTCTGTGTTAATATCCTTAGCATTGGCTGTACTTAATAGCTGGTTATTCATCAAAATGATTACTTTCAAAATGAACACATTTTGTCGCAACAATAGTTGCGACTTAGGTTGGAAAAAAAAAGATAGTTCTTACTATAACACAAGCATTGCTTGTGTAAAAAAAACAGGTAAAAAACAGGTTTAAAAACAAGCTTCTAAGACGCCTTTAGAAAACTTGTGATGTTGGTCAGCCAAAATGGATTTCGTAAAAACCTACCAAACATTTTTTGGCAACCAGAATTGTGGGTGGGGGGGGGGGGGTTAACTTTAAGAACATAGCCGAGAGACCGGCGAAATTGTTACTGAACTCGGTAACAAAAATATGTTTTTTTTATTTTTTCATACTCATACAAATTTATGCACCAATCAGATGGAGGCAAAGCTACACATCGCATACACAAGCTATTATTAAGGCTAAATGCGTGATCTTACGATGCAAAGCATGAATAATAATTATGTTCATAGTAACTAATTTGTTCAGAATAATTTCATTACATTATGACAACTTGAAAACAGTTTTCCAACAAAATTCATATGTGGGGAAAGGAGAACATCCGAATAAAACTGCATCATTATTTTAAAATGGACTTACGGACTTAATGGACTTTAAACAATACGGAAGCCACCAGGTTGATTTAAAAAATAAGACAATCAATAGCAAACTAAGTATTCAGAGTCAATTATCGAGCGGCAACCAAGCCGAAAATACTTGAGCAAACGCCCGTTAAACCGACAAAAAATGTTGTTTAAGCTACGAAGTTTCTACAACCACGCCTCCTGAATCAATCAAAAGCATAAAAATATATTTCTGCTCTTCAAACGACGCAAAATTATTTGATACAATACTATGCGCAATCGCAAGGGTAATCATTACCCTTGCTTATCGCAAGGGTAATGATTAATATGAAAGCTAACCAAGATCACCGAGACAAGGATATTTGGCTTCTGTGTAAGTAGCACAGAGTTTCGATCACATTTATCATTGCAAAAAAAATAGAAACTCATTGCTGATTTAATTAGTTTTTCTAAGATGGAGAGGTTGCTAATAAAAATTTGCTGAACTAATGGACTGAAATAATTAATAGCAGCTTACTAAAGGTTCAAAACTTGTGTCTTCTTGTTAAGTAATTGCTGAACAAACACAATAATCTGTGCTCTAAATTGTTGAGAACGGCCAAAAATCAATTTTTTTCGAAACTGACAACTTTTTTTCCATTTTGCGGAAACAAATCCAATAAGACTCAAGATGTTACAAGTTAATTACCAGAAAACCATATCCAATCTAATATCATTTGCTTTTCATAAATCAACCATTGCACCACACTTGAATCCGTAGGAATCACGTAAAATCAGTTGACTAGAAACCACCTTTCGCATATTTCCTTCCAGCCATTTCATTTAGTCGGAAAAAAATTAGTTTTACAGATAACTTATTTATTCATCTCAGAATTCTACACTTAAGTCAACTTTTGTACACAGAGGTGACGCAGCGCTTTTTAAGAACAATTCATGAAATAGCACAAAAAATCTTGAGAAGTAAGCCTGCGGAGACTTGAATTCCACGCCCAAAATGATAGACATGAGCATAGCAGCTTGAATTGCAAAAAAAAACAGCAATCCAAACACTTCTTCACGCCGTAGTACTGGTATATAATCCAAGAGATTTAGCTGAAATTATTTTGGTATTTACAATTTTAGAAGCTTATGTGATTTTTTCTTTTGTAATTGCTTTATTCTTTTAATCAGAAGAAAGCAAAAAATAGCGACTTTCCTTAAAGGTTATTAACAATTTTTATTATTTATCAACTAGTTATTATATATTAAATATATTAACTATTAATTATATATATATTTCAGTCAATACTGAGTTCTACAGGTTGTCATTAATGACTCAACATTAACTTCTCGTGAACTACTATGAAACTCCACCAACAAAGAAACCAAACGAAAACCAAAGAAAAACAACTTTACCAATCAGTTTTTTTTAGTTTGATATATGGCGGCCCTACATCCAAAGTCACTCGCTACAGGATGAAAGGCTTCTCACCGGGAAAGAATTCAGCGATATCGTTGTATCCTGAAATGCCCTCACCAACAATTTTGCGATGTACTGCCATTCTGAATCACCCTCAAACCAACGCCAAATTCAACGCTACCCTGTCTCAACGCTACCCTGTTGCCCTCCATTGAGGTCTTTACTGCCTACACATTAACTTCTCAAGAACTTTTGCCTTTAAGCTTCTAACAACTAAGAAACCTAACTAAAACCACGATAAAAACAACTTTGACAACCAAATTTTATAAGATCTTGTTAGGTGTGACATCTTATAGGTTATCATATATTTTCGTACATGGTATATTTAAGCATCGTGGCTATCCGTATAATCAGGTTGAAATTTATAAGATGCTATGCATGGTTGAGAAATTAATTTGAAACTGGATTCATTTAAGAGTTTCAATCAAAACCTTCCATTTTGGTCAGAACCAAGTCCCTTATTTTTCTGTTATCTTCGTCTTCGCAAAACGGAGCAAGACCCGATGATGTGTCATTAAGTTCCAGAATCACTTCATTCCATTGATCGTTTTTATCTCGACAACAAACTGCATCAAGAGTGCAAATATCCAGTCCATCAAACATCTTCGAAGCATTTTCAATCCACTTGCAATATCCAAAGAATCTCTTGACACTAACTTGTGGCATAACTTCAAGAAATCCGGATTCTATTGATTCTCCGTAATGACAACTGATAGATTCGTCGTCACGGATTACATTCGACTGGAAGTTTTTGGGAAGTAGAAGCTCTCCCATTAGGGTTGTACCAACGTTCGATTTCCAGTTACCAGAAACAGATATTTTCACGAAAACGCGAATATCTTTCCCTATTTTCTGAATTCTGAGATCAAACTTGTCTTTGCCGTCGATGAATGGTTCTACTGTGCAATAACTGCCGGATGTCATTTTTAAAACAGATTGGAAATCTTCCATCATAACGTGGTCGTTAACTAGCATCTTGCCCGCTCCAGCATGGGCAAACCCAATTTTAGCAACCGCCGGAAACTGATATCCGTACATCATTCCTGTTTCAGAGCTGAAGTATACTTGTTCAATCAAGGGAAAATCATAATCATCAGAAACGATACCTGAAGCAGGAACTTTGGAGCGTTTCACATCCAGTTCACGCTTCAGTTTAACTAACTCAGCATGAACAATCGGCCGTTCACATGACAGGTAGATACTCGATAGAGAATTCACACTTGGAACTCCCGAATACATCAAACCGTAAAGGAAGTTTCTGCAGTCTCGGTTTGGAATGCGAACCTCATTACGAACGAGAACAAAATCTGGCTTAACTCTTACGGTGTTTCGCTTGGCATGTTTCGCAGCCTCGTCTTTCGGTAAATTAGATAACTTTATCTCAACAGCAGCGTTCGGCTTTGAGCTTCGGAAAGGATCGCAACTGACATTAAGTATGTCCTCCCAACCACATTGGAAAAGTTGAACTTTCGATGATTTTTCTTTAAAAATTTCAGCCCAGTTATACTTAAAATAATCGTTTGCTTTGCCAGTAGATACATTAATTGAGTTATTACGTTCACCGTCAATAACAAGTATAACTTTTATGGCTGATAAGGCCATTTATTCTAAGTGATTTTATACCAAAGAAAAACAAATTTATACCGTCAAACTAGTATTTACAACTCTGGCGTCATCAAACATGAAGCTTAGAAAGCTCCACGTCAAAAGTAAAAACAACTCAATCATCACTGAAAATAGATTTACGGCACATCACAAATTCATTATTCCTTATTACTTGCAGGAATTATCAAAGGAGACTTTCAAAACTCATATTTCCGTTGCCAAAAACTTCTAACTGGAAAAATTGACGTCTTTAGTATACACTTCGCATCAGTTGCAATAAAACAACGGAAGCGTAGCATTGCAAGTTACCACATAGACAATGGGATCGAAGACGAGAAGTCGAAAAAACTGGAAATACAAAAAATTCAATCTCAGATAAACATATGAGAAACAGAACCACTAGTTTTAATCAATCTTTAAGTATTTTCCGAGCATTCACTAAGCCGATAAATAGTGGTTAGACGCCAATTGATCCGAACTCAAAAAATGCCACAGGAAATTGTTGTCAAAAAAATCGACGATTTGGTTTCCAAATAAGAAAAATTCAAGCTCAAAAAATAAAACAGACAAGAAACACAACCACTAGCATTAAAACTTTTTTGTATTTTCCGAGCGTTCAGCAAGCCAACAACACGTGGTGAAACACCAATTAGTCCGAAAGCAAAAAATGTCAGAAGAAAATATCTTAAGAAATTTTAAGCGATTATTGTTTGAACTTGTAACTTTTATACTCTAACCGACCATATTTGTCAAAACAAAAATATTCAGTTTTTATCCTAAAAGCGATGAAAAAAAGTTCACTAAACTGACAAAACATGAGCCGAAATTATTAAGGCCGAATGAATTTCTGAGCGAAAAAAAAAACAAAAAAATGGTAAATATACCAGCCAGGGATAGTAAACTACAAAACTACATGAGTTAACCAACGACAAGTCAGACCACAATGAAAACTACTGGCAGCGCAACTAAGCCAAAATCGTGGCGTGGCAGCTAAGCCGGCAAACTATAGTCCGAATTTTTAATTTTTACAGCATAAATTCAATTTCAGACACTGACAAAATTCAAGGTCCGACCGGGACTCAAAACCCCGAACACAGGATGCAAAGAAATTAAAGCAACATCATTTAAAGTTACACATGTGTAAGAAAAGTTGTTTACTGGAAAAAAAGTCTAATTCCTGATTACAAGACACTTGCTCAACTTACAAGACACTTGCACAAGTGTAATAAAATGTGAAGTATGACCAGGATAGCTGGTTGCCGTGCAAGAAGCGCTGAATGTTCACCCTTAATAATGAATCAATTACAGTATTTCAAAAACAAAATTTTTTTCCAGTTATTTTTTGTTTAGATTAAAATTGAATTAGATTTAATAAAATCTACCTTAATGAGTTACCTTAATTTTTATTTAGATTAAAATTGAATTAAATTTTTTTAAAAACTACCTTAATGAGAACTAACTATTGGGAAAATTGTAATAGAATAAAATTGAGCGTCAGAAAGTTCAAGTTGAGTGACACAAAATTGGTCAAAGCAATGAAAAAAATTCAAACCCTTTTTCTCGGTACATGGACAAGTTTTTAGAACATTAGTGGATCCCTCCTGTGTGAGACCTTAGAAAGGGCCCACTGGTGTTCTAAAAATGTTGTGTCGATAAAATTCGATGCTTCGACCAAATTCACGAAATTTCTGTCACTCAAATTAAATTTTATGACGCTCAATTCAATTCTAATGCAATTTCGCCGATAGTTAGTTCTCATTGTAGCAGTATTTTATCTAAATCAGTAGCCTTTTAACGAAAACAACAGGAAAAAAATGTTTTTTGAAATGCTTCACTTGAATTATAGCAAACTGAAAATTCAGAGCTACTTGCACGCGACCATAGTTTATATTTTATGGATAGTGATTCCTACGAACTTTACTTGGGTGTCCTACTCCTAATTTATGCCTACTCTGGTCGGCTGGTTACGAGCTCATATCAACAAATGCCAAAGCTACACATTTTCTCTCGGCGTTGCTAATCAAAACCAGAATATTAACCAACATAAACTAACGTTTCAGCCAATCCTTTAACGTTTCCATGTCCAAAATGCTATAGTGAGCGCACACAGAGTTGTCCAAGATAACCAATTGTTTAACAATTGGTTTAACCAATTTGTTAAGAAATGGTTTGTTAAACTGATTTAACCAATAACCAACTGGTTAAACCGATTTAGTTAAAAACAGGTCCTTTTTAACCTATTAATATTGGCTTATATATTAGCTTTTCAGAAGTGTGTTCTGCATCTAAGCTAGGCCACGAAATCATTTTTTTCCACGCCACTCCAAAACTTTACTCAATCGTGCTCGATATATCGATAATTAGCAATTTTGGCGATTTAATTGATTACGTCCGATTAAATTTGCAAGCCGGCTACTTTCAAAACTTGCATCATTTACTATAAGTTTGAGAATACTTATAATTTGTTTCATCACTGTTTAAAAGCAAAATTGGTGAAACCGATTTGGTTTTAAAAAATTCTTGGCTAGTCGTTAAAACATTGGTTTAACTTTTTTGACTGGACATCACTGATCGCATAGATGAAGCAGAATTTTGCCTCAACTGCAAAACAAACGAAATCAATATGATTGCATGAATATCTAGATGGAAAAACAATTCCTGATAAATTGTTTATTACAAATGCAGATTAACCTCAGGAGTAAACAAGGAGGTAAAAAAACAACTGAAAATAGCTGTTTGCTGAGCAATTTGCACAGATATTCCGATTACTAAACGCTAACTAAAAATAAGAAAATTGAAAAAACAAAATTGAAAAGTTTGGGATGTTTTAGATTTTGATTACTTTTTTCATTACTTTTTAGTGAGGGAGAGGAGACTGAATAGGTTAATAAGCCTCAGGAATCAGTTAAAAATAGCTCAAAAATTGAAAAAACGTCCAACGCATTAGATCGGAAAATCAACCTGAAAATTTACGTCATTTCCAGGCATTTTGCGCACGAAATTACGCCTCCTGTACTCAAAAAGATAACAGGAAATATACGCGAATTAGTTATCCTAAACTGGCAATTTTCAAGCCCCCAGAACTTTACTGACTTGTTTTCTTTTTTTTGATAAACGTCAAATTTCGGAATTTATAGAAGGACAATATATGCCTTTAAAACAAACTTTTCAAGTTTCAAGTACTTCCTTTGAGTGACACTTTTTAAACAATTAACCCAACTTAATGACTTTTTCCTGGTAAAAAACCACCACGACATATATAAATGTTTTTATACGCTCATTGACGAATCGTGATAAATTGGTCAAAACAGTTTTTTAAACAGTCAAAAACTGTCTACAAAAAAGTCAAGAGCATACATATACTCCCATACCGTTAATTTATGAATTTCAGCTCGAACTATGATTGAGAGCTTAAAACTAACTCACTCAACCCTTCGACATTGCTTTTTACAACCTGATTTAGTTTAACATGTCCAAATCCAAATATCTCCTGGCTACCAGCGGACGAATAAAAAACCAGCAAACAGACAACTGAAAAAATTTCAATGATCTCAAGAACACCGAAACGATCGACTATTTATCTGAACGTTTTCAATTTTTGAAATCCAAATAAAAAACTTTAAAAAACGGCCTCTTCCAAAATTTTTAAGCGTCTCTGTGAACAAACTTAAATTTGAAACAAAACATGCCATAAAACAAAACTGTCGGCTTCATTTAGCATTCAGCCAAACTGCATTAGGGGGTAGTTAAGCCGACGCCCGTTGACCAGAAAACAAAATTGTTATCACAACCATTTAAACTAGAAAGCTTTGAATTTAGGAAGTTTTTTTGCATCGCCCCACCCTGAATCACGCACACATAAGAATCTACTATCACCCTTCAAATGACATAATATGCTCTCTCATGCCGATAACGCTACTTCGGTTGAAATTGTTTAGGAAAAAAAATCGTTTAAGCGAAAAAAATTTCAAATCTCAGCGCAATTTTTTTTCGAAATCTGATCTATTTAATCTACAAATTACAGGAAAAACTCATAATGACTTTCAGTTTTAGTAAAAACAACTTGAATTTGATTAAACTTTATGCTATACAAACTTGGCCGAGAAAAAATAAGCAGATATACGATAGACCGATCATTGGATTTTTTCAAGAAGAGTACTGATATAATTTTAGTGTACTGTAATAGCAGTAGCACAGTAGTTTTAATTAAACTTTCAAGAATTTGAGCATTCCAGCTTATGAATGATTCGCAAGTGCTCTCCAGTGATTCAATGACTTTGTAACTCAAGTTGTTAACCCATATTCCGGTTTGACAACGCTTGCTTATCGCAAGTCTAATGAAGCAGCCCCATTTGAGGCTGGATTAATTAGTATTTTGTATTCCGCTGGGAATCGTAAAACACAATGCATTCTTGAAAATTTACCGATCATTTTTTTTTTAGCTGGAAGGAAATTAACTGAACTTAAAAAAATCAAAAGTCAAACCCTGAAAAATCAAATTTGAGCGTCAAAATTTTTTCCTGAAAAGAAAAAGCAAGAAATCAACACGACCTATGTAACACATTCACTGCGTTCAATGACTTAATAATAAGTCAAACCACAAAAACAAAACATTTCAGCGTTAAAAAATTCTTCTTTACCTGAATAATTAAGAATTTTGACCGAAAACAAAAAAAACAACCCGACCGAAATAAGAGTCTTTCTTTTAATCATTGGCATTTATAACCCGAAAGAAAAAAGCTGTCGACCTTAATTGAAAGCTGCGCCGAAATTTTCAGAAGGCAAAAAAAAGGCGCAGAGCCATTTTAGAATCACTTAGCTTAACCTCCAGGCACATTTAAGCAAAACTTACAAATGGTCACTTTTGACCACTCAGTGCACAAATTTCTACCGTCAGCAAAAGTCAAGTATGATTTTGGAAGCCGCTTGCTAGCCACCATATAAGGGATTATTTGGACTAAAAAAATGTCATCAACCTTAAAATTTGAATTTAACTAAAATTTGAAAATCATGTAGAAGAAAAGATAAAATGAAAAGCAAACCAAAACAAACTCTGAACATTGCAACGACATTCAATTTAATTCATAGCAGTTTAATCTGCGTAAATATTTTCCTTTGGAGAACTCTCCTCTGAAATTGGATGTTCAGTCCTCCAATTCGAGTCTGTGGGAGGGCGAGTCACTCTTTTGCATACCGTGTCTCCTCTTCCGATATGAACCGCTCTCACTCAATTCAACGAACGGCACCTCTGAAAACAAAGAAATGCAGGTGAACACGGTTCTCTTGCTCTTTTCTACGATGCGGACAAAATTATCCGTTCCAGCTGAAAATTTTTTTTGACTCTTTTCATTAACTCAACCATATTTGTTCAATTCTGAACATTTCTCAAATAACGAATGTGTCTGATCAAATGTTGATGTATTATTGAATCTTGAAGCCGACAACGGTTCTATGGTGTCAAAATGTCGTTTCTTCCTTATCAGTGGAACCTCATAGGTATGGAAAAATTGTTCATAATTAACTTCTTTTATACACTTACGGTAGGGCTGATCAGCAGGATGCGGTTGGTGACACGTGAATGGCGACCGACAGAATGGATTCATTGCTTGTCCAGGAGCTCCCATGCTGCAGCACATACACTGAGGAACCGGAAAGCCACCTAAACGTCACATCTTGGTGATAAAATGAATCTCATTTGAACAAATACAATCGTCACTATAGCACTCTCCTCTACTCAACCAAATTAAACAATGAAGTAAGCGCAATGAAAGTGATGCTTTGAGCGGCAGCAGGATAATATACCCCAGTCTAATCTAAGCTATGCCATTTTACCCTCCATATCAATTCACCCTATGCCATTCTACCCTATATTTGATTTTTCGCTGTTTGACTTTTGATTGTTCTCTTAAGTTCAGTTGTTTAACTCCACAACCGAACAGCGGCATCAGATTTTAAATTTGAGATTTCTCAGCGGAAAAAAATTAGCTAATCAATGTGTTGCGACCTTGCCAACAGAGAGTTGAACTCTATACGAGACAAATATAGGTTAGAGGGGCATAGTTTAGAATGGCATGGGTTAGTTGGTCATGGAACCTTCTGAGCAATCATTTTTTGAGCGATGAATTTTGAAAATGAACTTTTGTAAGAAGCTATAGCTTAGTTAACAAAAAATAATTGACACCCGACTACTTAACTCGGGCTACTTAACTCATCAAAAATGTTCACACAGAGGACAAGAGGAGCTTCGCACCGCTTGCGATACGACCCTAACAAAAAAACGAAAAAGTCGAAAAAAAATAGTGAAAAAACTGGGTGAACCAAAATTTTTAAACGTCTTGGGCTAGCGCTGGGTGAACCAAAATTTTCAAACGTCTTGGGCTAGCGCTGGGTTTACGTTTTTGTTATTTTTACAATTTGTTCTGATGCAAAACGAAATATATAATTTCAAAACATGACTTTACCTAAAATCTAAGTTGTTTCTCTACTAAAATAAGTGACAAGACTGAAAACTTTTGACATATTGGAAATCTCTTTAATACATAACATTTTTGCATAACAGCTTCGCACCACTTGCGATGAAACAAATGCACAAAGACAAAGAACGTCCTGAAAGAAACGTATCACTGTCTGTAAATAAAATACAATTAAACAGAACGTTTTTTGTAATTGTCAACGAAAAAAGTAAACATTTATTTTCGTTACAATTTTAACAAATTGACACTAAAGGAGTACAACAAATTAATCAGGAAAAGTAGCAGACAGCAACTCAAGTTGACAGACTAAAATAACAAATACGACCAGCAACTTTGAACAAAATTACCAGAAATTTAGAGATAATTTTTATTCTGATTTGATAGGACTTCAGGATTGATGGGTCTTCATCTTTGAAATGAAATGGCTTCCTCTGAAAAAAGGGTGAGAATCCAATAAGAACAAATTTTTAATTTCAAAATAAAATGTCGAAAATGACCTATTTTATCTGCAACAAAAAGAATGTGAAAAATACAATCGATCGAACAACCAAAAACAAAAATTGAACCAATTCTGTTACTTGAACAGAAAAAAAAATGCGAAAAAATTGTTTAATTTTCACTTTGTTTAATCAGAGGCTATGTTTACATTTATTTACTCACTAAATTTTACAACATAGTGACTGAAAAAAGACAAATGTCAAAAAAATTCTTGAAAAATTATGTGAGAAAAATCACTTAACATAACTTGACAAAAGTTGAAAAACTACAGCTAAAAAGAGTTCATATTTGTATCCTTTGAAGTATATAAACAGCCCTCAAAAAATGGAAATCCTTTACAGAGCCGCGAGAAACTGGGGGTCGAAGCCTGTTAAGCCAAAAACAAAATTACTGCCATAAAAATTTTTATAAAATTTTAAGTTTTTATGACCCATCTGAACTGAAACTCAGAATAGCAAATTGATATATTTTGCGCTCGAAATTACGCAAAGTTAGGTAAATAAGTCGATATAATATGAACTGAAACTGTTTAAAAAACTTAAAAAAAAATTGAAAAAAAAACTTTACAAACTTGTGAAGTTGCAGTTATAGTAAAAACTGTTTTAAAAAACGTAAAAAAGCGATGCTTCAAAAAAACCAAAAAAAAACTTGCAGATAAAAAAATACTGTTTAAAAAATGAAGAATGAACCGACAGATTTTAGGGTGAAAACAACGAACCCGAGACACAATCAAGAATTTTTCGAAATGACTATTACAAACTGAAACGGGCTTGAACTCATAGCTACAAATGAAAATACTTTTATTTGAGTTTTCAAGAAATTGAGCAAGTCAGAAGATCGTCTAGAAGTGAAGATGCCTGTGCCTTAGGTGATTTAGGGGAAAAACTTATGAAACCCTTATTTATCGCATGGTTAAATAATCTAGAAATGGACTTAAAAGTTTCCAGAATTCCAAATAAGAAATTAATCACTTCCACATTACCAAGGAAATTTTACCGAAAAAAAAATCGAGAAAACAAGCCAAAGAAATTCAAACCGACCTCTTCCAGCGCGGAAAATCTACCGATAATTTTCAGTACAAAAAAATAATCTTCAAAAACTAATAACAGGAAGCCCATACCTAATATTCAACTACTGCAATTATAAGCTTCCTGCAACTACAGGAAGCCCATACCTAATATGCAACTACTACGCACTACACTAACCATGGTGCTATTGAAATTATTAGCATTTCGTCCATTCTATGAACAAAGTTGTTTACGGCAAAAAGTCTAGTACCCGATTGCAATACTCTTGCTTATCGCAAGAATAATAAAAATATACGGAGATTTGACAGGGTAGTTTGAAAGAAAAGACTATAAGTTTCAAAAAAAAAACGATCCAATTTTCCATAATCAAAAGCGATCCAATTTTCCGAAATTTTCCGTGACCGGTTAAGCAGAAAAGATTGCCAAAACAGGGTTTCTCGACTGAACACTTAACCTGAGAATTAACCTGCAGGCACACAAAAAAACATCACAGGTGAAATATTTTTCCAAACTTAAGCTCAGGGCAACAAAACCTTTTGATTGATATTTTAAAATTACCGTAAAAAATGGCTAGTTAAAAAATCGAAATGTGTCTGAAGAAAAAAAAATAGCCAATCGAAGATTGGAAAGAAAAATGCACGCAAGTAAACATAAGAAAAACACTGACTTTCTTGAAAAAAATCTTTCAAATTTTGAAATTTCAAAGAAAAAGCTCTATGAAATTCTAGAAAAATTATGATTGGCGCTTTCTTGATAAAATGAACCCAACTTGAGAAGAAAACTGGATCAATAGTTAATGTTTTTATTCCGCAGGGAAATTTTTTTAAAAAAATTCCACTTTCGAAACTAGAAATCGTCCACGTTTTTTTCGCGCCATTTCCACGTTCGTATTTGGAGAGTGCTATTTACGTCACTTTCAGCAGATGAATTTAAATTGAACTCAAAAAGTGCATTATACCTAGGTGCATCAATATTTTAAGACTTTTTCCTGAAAAAAAAAACAAAAAAAAATCAGCAAGACCTATATAAGGGTCTTCACTACGTTCATTACTCCTTAAAAACCATTCCGAGCACAAATATTCCGTTACTTTCGTAACGAAAGTCGGAACAATAATTGTCTGTCTTAATATCCTTAGCATTGGCTGTACTTGATAGCTGGTTAGTGATCAAAATGAGCACTTTCAAAAAGAACACATTTTATGCAACAATATTTGCGTCGCAACAATATTTGCAACTTAGATTGGAAAAAAAAGATAGTTCCTATATAACACAAGCATTTCTTGTGTAATGAAGCGTAAGCAAAGCCGAAAATCTTCGTGCAGACACCAGTAAAGTCGAAATTTATAAAAACCAAGTTCCCTTGAATTTTTCACTGAAAGCATTTGCAACTACCATGACACTTATTTACAGCACCGGAAAAAGCAGCACAAATGGCAACTAAGCCGACAAAAGTTAAGCTGGCCAACCAAAGTCCGACAATTCAATTTTTACCGGAAAAATTTTCAGTTTCATATATACTGCAAAAAAAAACAAAGTCTGCTGGTAGTCGAACCTCAAACGTCAGGGTGCCCATTGAAATTTCGAAAAAACCGACCTGGTAGGTTCACTCGTAAAATCCTAAGGATATTGAACTCTCCCCAAATGCTCTAAACAACGAATTTTCACCAGATTTTTAGCAAGCAAATTTCCGAGAACACAGGTCAAAAATGTCGTTTTTGGGTACTTTTTGGCAAAACTTGACAAAAACGCGTTTTTTCGGCGCCCGCTCTTTTCAAAATAATATATATAGGCACCAAAAGCGCCTTTGGAAAAACTTTAGCGAGAAACGTTAATTAAAATGTATTTTTAAAAAAGACGTTAAAAAATGACTTCAGAAAAAGCCGACCAAAAACAGACCAAAACGACAAGTTGGTTGAAATTGACCTGTTAGACACCCTGGTGCAAAAGCGACCGCTTTACATCCAGGTCAATTGGGAAGGAACTTGGAAGTAGTTCAGGTTCAATAATAAAGCAAGTTCAATTTCTTGAGAGAAAAGTTGTTTACGGGAAAAAAGTCCAGTTCCCCATTACAAGACACTTGCTCTTGCAAGTGTAAATAAATTGAAATATAACTGACCTTGAACTTGTGGATAAAACAAAGGCAGAGGTGTTGTCATCATATTTCCCATTTGACTGGATGTCGGAGTCATCATATTCATATTTATGCCATAACCACTACAATGAATTCCGTGGATTGGAGGGCATCCTAAAACAGATAGATCAATCCATAACAAATTTCGAGTACGTACAATTTTACAACAGACGCATCTATATTATTTTAAATATTCTCAGCATTCTAAATAAAACTTAAGCATTTCAAACGAAGATAGCCGGTTGCTGTGCCAGTAGCCTAGAATGTTCCGACCACATTCTCAGAATTTTTTAAATTAGTATATTTTCTTGCGCGTCGTGTGATGATAGAACTATACGCATGCGTCCAAATTTATTGAATTGGGCAAAAACGACTACAGTTGTATTCAGTAAATACAAAAACAAAAATGAGAAAATTTTCACAAAAACTATTAAATTTGTTTCAATTTTTTGCACTTAAATTTTAAAATATTTTTGAACGTTTTTTTAACAGAGAAGCGCTAAATGAAGCTTCCAACACTAGCCTTCCTTTTAGTTAAATCACGTTTGCTCGAATTTTGGACAAAAGCCGAAAAATTTTCTCGACACTGACAACTTTTTGAAAACTTTTAAAAGTCGCTTTAATCACGTCTGAAAGGGCTCTTAAATGATGCATCACTGGACCCAGTCCGATGATTATGTGTGGTACCTGATTTTGCGTGGAAAACAAAAAGAAACTAAATTACATCCAAATACAAAGCTCCTCTCCATTTTCAATAATCGGAACAATAATTTTGCAAAATAGTGCTGAACTACACATACGGGGAAATCAAATTGAAGTTGCCAAGTGGCCTAATTTCCCACAACATCGAAAACTTTTCCATGTTTTTGCAACATACCAGGCATCGGCGTTTCCTTCCAAGTGCCCAGATTCACACCTTGGACATTCGATGATCCAAGCTCCATATTGTTTACTCTCGTTTCTGCTCTCTCAAGCGTTACAGTTTGATCAACACTTGTCGACTTAGAAGAACAAGGGGCAACTGCAGAAGCAGCTTTTGCCTTCTTTGGTGTGACATAACCAGCATCCGGTGAGATAAATGGAACCTTTCTTTTCATCTTCTGTTCGATTGAGTCTACCCAGTTTAGCTTATCTGCCTTCACAAGAGGAGTCTTGACTGAGACTGGTGAATCCGAATATCCCTCGTCAAGAGGCGATTCTTTCGCAGCCACAGCCACACTCCTTCTTTTTTGACAAGGAGCTTGTGAGTCGAAGATACCTGTAAACGGGAGTCAATCTTTACATAAGTGATGATTCATATGTGAATCAGGACAAAACGTATTAAAGTTGAAAGTATAACGCCTTCTTCACAATTCGGGTTGAATTTAGGTGAAAACGATGAAGATAAAACTTGCAACGAATTTAAGCCGAATTAATATGGTGCAATTTATTTCGCGAGATTCGAGCCTAAAATTTCACCCAAAAAATGGATCTATTTTGACTTTTTTAGTCAATCAAAAATTACACCAAAACTACCGAGTCAAACACTGACAAAAACCATATCAAAGTGAGCCTTTTACTAAGTATCAAAAAGAGCACAAAAAAATTAAAAGGGGCGCAAAACATTTGAAAATAGTTCTTTTTTAAATGGTGTTTTATATAGTAAAAAAAGACAATTTTTGTCTATCAATCAATAATAAATTCATTTAGACAATTTTTGACAGATTATACCCTTCTTTCTTAATCTGCAGTTGTTTTATTCTGTTGTTAATCTTAAATTTAATTGTACTGCGTAAGAGGCTCACTTTAATATACTTTTGTAAGTATTTGACTCCGTAGTTTTCGCTTAATTTTTAAATTGACTATTAAAGTATAGATCCGTTTATTGGGTAAAAAATTTTAAGCTCAATTTTTGCAAAATAAATAGCCCCATATTAAAGCCATTAAAATTCCAAGCAAGTTTTGTCTTCATTTTTTACCCAAAATCAAAAATAATTTGATAAAAACTTTTCTTAAATTTCAAGTCATGGGCATTTCGTCCGGATAAATTAAATCAGCACTGTATTGTTAGCATCACGTCAGGAGCAAAAACAAGAATATAAGCAATCACGAAATCTCGGAAATCTATATTTGTCTGTTTTGAAATTTCTGAGGTGCTAGAGCCATTAACACAGAAGCGAATCTGTGCTTCGCAAACAGAGGCGCGAGAAAAAAAAACACAGCAGCTCTATGAAGTGAAACTAGCGCGTCAATCGCACCTCCGGTGCTACAAAACCATTCTTCAGAAAACTGACAAACCGAATTTCTCAAAAAATAAAAGGATTGAACATCATACATGGACGCCAGATTTGCAACCCCTGAATGTACCCTGACAGCACCTCACTATAGGGTTGAGAAATTGAAGTTCGGTACACTTTTTTATATCTAACTTTTTGGGAAAAAACGAAAAATCATTTAAAAAAACGCCATATCTCGGAAACCAAACAGATTTGAGCAGTCATAATTGGACGCTAGATTTGAAGCTCTGGAGTGTACCCCGATAGGACCCCACTATAGGGTTGAGAAAATCAAGTTCGGTTAGTTTTTTTTATATCTAAGTTTTTTGGGAAAATACGAAAAAAACGCCATATCTCGAAAACCAAACAGATTTGAGCAATCATACTTGGACGCTAGATTTTTAGCCCTTGAGGGTACACTGACAGCACCCCACTATAGGGTTGAGAAATTCAATTTCAGTTAGTTTCTTTTTATATCCAAGTTTTTTTTGGAAAAAAAATGAAAATAAAAAATAATAAAAAACACCATATCTCGAAAACCATAAGGATTTGAGCAGTCATACTGCGACGCTAGATTGGCAGCTCTGGAGTGTACCCCGATAGGACCCAACTATAGGGTTGAAAAAAAAACAAGTTCGGTTAGTTTTTTATATCTAGTTCTTTGAAAAAAAAATCATGAAAAAACGCCATATCTCGAAAACCATAAAGATTTGAGCAGTCAAACTTGGCCGCTAGATTTGCTGTCCTTGAGTGTACCCTGATAGCACCCCACTATAGGGTTCAGAAAATCAAGTTCCGTTAGTTTTTTTTATATCTAAGTTTTTTGGGAAAAAGCGAAAAATCATGAAAAACGCAATATCTCGAAAACCATAAGAATTTGAGCAGTCAGAGTTGGACGCTAGATTTGTAGCCCTCGAGTCTACACTGATAGCACCCCACTTTAAGTGCAAGAGTAAAAAAAATAACAAACTTTCAAAAACCCGATCAATAAATAAATCACAAACATTAAACACTAGCCAGAAATAAAGCAGAGAACAGTTGCTATGAAATTTCAAATGCTACAGATCAAGATTATAGCAACAGTGACACCAAATGAGCATTTTTATTTACGAGTTAGGTTGGAAAAAAAACTAAAATCATACCAATAAACTTCTCTCGCTGTCTCGATAGTGTCAAGACACTTGAAATATTCAAGTGTGATAGAGGGGTCCCGGTAAAAACCAAGTGTGACAGAGGGTCCCAAATTACGCTGATAATAAGCAATTAATTAAATTCATGGACGCCGCTCGATCGTTTTTAAAACTTTCAAACGTAACCGATATATCTCATTTGCGCTGACTTATTTAATGTTTTTTTTTGTCATAAATTGAACAATTTTGAAAGACTGTATTTAGATAAGGGACCCCTTTACTTTATCGAGACACTTGTACCACTTGAAGGAGTCGATAACATGAAAATTGAAATTTTCAAAGTCTCTCATGGTCAATTGAATTCTGAACTACAGTGCTGATTTAAATTAACCGGACAAAGCGCGTAAAACTTAAAACGCATTTTTCTCAAATTGGGTTAAGTTTAGGTGAAAACTTATGCAGACAAAACTTGCTTAGAATTTTAGCAGAATTAATATGGTGTAATTTTTTTTGCAAAATTCGGTTCCGAAATTTTACCCTAAAAATGGGTCATTTTGGCTTTTCTTAGTTAATCAAAAATTACGCCAAAAATACCCAGTCGATCACAGACATAATTATATCAAAGTGAGCCCCTTATGTAGCTCAACAAACTTTAAGAAGGGTATTTTCTTCAAAAAAAATTGCATTTTGTTTAAAAATTGTTTTTAATTAAAAAGTTGGTATTTTATATAGTAAAAATGACCTTTTTTGTCTATCAAACAAAAATAAATTAACTTATACAATATTTTGGAGATTATACCCTTCTTAAAGTTTGTTGAGCTACATAAGGGGCTCACTTTGATATAATTATGTCTGTGATCGACTGGGTATTTTTGGCGTAACTTTTGATTAACTAAGAAAAGCCAAAATGACCCATTTTTGGGGTAAAATTTCGGACCTGAATTTCGCAAAACAAATTACACCATATTAATTCTGCTAAAATTCTAAGCAAGTTTTGCCTTCATAAGTTTTCACATAAACTCAACCCAATTTGAGAAAAATGCGTTTTAAATTTCAAGTTTAACGCGTTTTGTCCGGTTAATTTAAATCAGCACTGTATTTCTGAGCTACTTTCAAAACTAACACTGAGCGACTTCACCATTTTCAGATTTATCAATATGCTATTGAAATTTTCAAATTCTGATTAATTGATTGGACTCTTGCAAACTTACCGAGAGCAGGCATTGGCTGATTCATCATAAGTTTCCTTTTCTCTGTAAATTCCTTGTCCAGATTAGGCAGTCTGTTCCGGTTCCAGAAATCAGATGTAGTCTCATCTTCAAAAAGAAGCGACGATATTTTACTCTTCAGATCTATCCCGAAGTCATCAAAGTCAACGAAGTCCGCAGGATTCAATTCAAATTTGTTGCGATTCAGATTACGTTCTTCTTTAGTCTTCAACTTTTGAGACGGTTCCGAAAATTGAGTAATTGGCGTGCAGATATTGTCCAAAAACTGAGACTGCCTTAATTGAAAACAATCGCCATAATCGAAGTCTTGAACTGGAGTCACTTTTGTTGACTGCAAAAATGTTTTTTGTTGGTCTGAACTCAGATCATCAATGTGGTCTTCAGTTTTGACCAAATTTTCAGGAGCAAACAACGTTGCAGATATTTCCGTATTTGTTTTGCTTTCCTGAGGAAACTCTGGATCTTTTTCAGCTCTCAGGGCCACCACAGGAGTAACCAAATCGGGAAAAAAGTCGTTCTCAAGCCGTTCTAATATCTTTTGTCGGGCTGAGTTCAACAGAGCTTGTTTCATCAACTGATTAGAAGAAAGAAATTCCGAGGGCCGAAAGGTCAAAGATGGAGTCTTCGGGGCCAAAGGAGCAGCCATCAGTTTCTTGACTATGGCTTGAGGACAGGGCAAAAATTCAGTTTCAGCCCAACGGGTGATTTCATTGTCATTTTCTTCGGGAATAATCAAATCACATTTGCACTCAATGCAGCTTATGTACACCGCCCGAAACCTAATTTCATTGCTCAAAGACTTTTTGCCAATTTGTAGAGCTACATATATTTTCCACGACATAATGACTCCATTATTTGCTTCAAAACCTGCCGCTTTAATTAGGGCGAGGCAACTTTGGTTACCAATGGTAGAAGGCCGACATTCCACAGAGATCTTCAGGTTCTTTTTATCGGAGCTGAGAATCACTTCTGAAAACCTTCCCTTTACAATCATACTCCATTTATCTTCCTTTGTCAATAATAACATTTCTTCCGAGAAATAAGGCGATACTTCCTCAGTTTGGGTTCCAGGGTAGAAATTGGGCACCTCGTTTTGAATATATTCGAAAGATTCGATTTTCCACTCAAAGGCACCGATTTTAAGCGCATCCTCACTGTCCGATAATGCGTCTTGCACGAGGTAATTTTTTGGGAAATACAATTTCTCATTATCAGAAAATGGGCACTCTTTAGGCACCGAATCATTTTCAAGTTTCTCTAATTTAACATGGTCAAAACTATCTTTGATTTGTTCACTTTCAATACCTGCTGCATTTGGATTATCAAAACTCTCAGAAGTTGAGTTTTCAATTGCATCGTGAAGTTCACACGTATTAAAAGAATTTTCAGAGCAATTCAAAACCTTTTCTTTTTCGAAGCATGGAGAAATGTTTCCAGTTATTTTAGAACTCTTCTTCCTTTTTTGAGGCCTATTAGACTTAGGGCCAAACGTGAGAAGCGGAATATCCAATCCAGTACTTAATCGGGCGTTTCTTCTCATATAAATCAAACTTGCTCTTTCTAATTTGGAATCTGGACTTCTAGGAAACAGAACTTTTTGTCGCGCTTCTTTGCAGACAATTTCTTTAGCAACTTCAGCAATCGGAGCCAAGTTATGACAAGTTTCGTTTTTTATGCAGCCTGTCTTGAAATTCCTTGTACTGTCTGCTTTTACATCGAAATTTTGCTCAGTAGACCGACTTCCTTCAAATGAGTTCAAACTAGCCTCCTCAATCTTACAGCTGATCGGTGATTTATCGTTTATTTCAGGTTTTACCGCACATGCGTTAAAATTTTTCTTCATGGTTTCTTTTGATTTTATCATTTCATTTGAATCATTTTTACCCTCTATCTTTTTGAGATTTTGGTGTCTGAAAGAATTGAAACTATTGAATTTAGATTCCGTTCCACTAATTTTGTTGCCTTCTTTTCTTCGCCGTGATAAAAGAGAAATTTTCTTGAACTCGCAAAGTGGTCCAGTTTTTTGATCTGCTGGCTCTTTTGCGGTCCGATTGATCAATTTTCGTTTTCTGCTATCTGGTTTAAACTCTCGAATAATTGGTTTCATTTCACTCGAATTTGAAGCAGGAATGACCCGGTTACCACTGACTACATGGATTTTCTCCATATCAATTCTCTTTTCGACAATTCCATCAAAATCGGCCTCACATTTCTGTGTGATTCCAAACTCGCTTCTGGTGAAGTACTTTTCATGCTCTGAAGTTTCATTGACAGCTGCGTTTATTTCGTGCTCAGGAAAGGATGAAAGATTTCTGTGCTTTGATTCTTTATCCGGCAAATTTGATACTTGTTTTGAAATGTCTGCTTTGCTGAGATTATAAAACCTTCCTTGTTTTGTTTCCAATTTGATTTCAGAACGGTTTTCGATTATAGGATTCGAAATTTCATCTTCGGATACCTTCAAGTCCACAGCTTTCAAGCTACGAGCACCAGCTGATTTTGACGAGTTGCTCTTCAGTACCAATTGAACAGACTCCTCGCCCGTACATACTAAATCTTCTTTCACTTTTGTTGGCAAAGGAAGATTTTTAGCCGCTTTCAGAGATAAAGGCTCCGTCGAAATCGTTTGAAGATCCGGATTCTCTGATTTCATAAATGATTCTGGAATGACTGGACAATGCGCTTTTATATCTTCGCCATTTACGACATGACTTCCCTCTTTAACAGAGACATTTGACGTCCACATATTTCCGTCTATACTCCCATCATGGAATATAGGCTTCCCCTCAATTTCCTCGATATATATTGAATTCTGACCATACCCAGAAATCATTATTTCACTGCCAGTTGTTTCGTTTTTTAAACCAAGTTGGTCTTTTGCATTCTTCATGAATGGCGGACAATTGACAGCTTCTCCCAGTTGAATCTGAGCCACCTGGGAATGATTGTCGAATATTTTGATTTTACGTGGCTTCATATTCTGAGTCAAGGATGCAAATTGAGACATCACCTCGCCCTGATATAGAAGGTTGGAGGAGCTTCGAACACAGGTTGAAACAAACTGATTTGATGAGTAATCGATAGATTTCAGAGCACAGACAGAATCTGAGGTAACGATAGAGATTTTAAACGAAGCGTTTAGTTCTTCTAAGCAAGAATCGAACAGCGACATTACCTCCAGGGGATCGAATGGACAAGCGCTTTCAATGCCTTCGAAACCTCCATTGCCATGTAAAACATCATGCTCTCTAGTTCGTCCTTGAATAGCTCGCAAAGATTTCGAGACCCTGGATTTATCCCTATTGTTGATGAACACTTGAAGCTTTTCGGCAAATATAGCCTGAAGGTGCAGTAATATTTCTTCAGTTGTAACACCACTAGTTGATACTATTCCACTTTGCGAAGACGGAAGACAAACGTCGTTGTTTCTAGCTACAAAAAGTTGAACCTTCTTTCTCAGCTTAAGCACAGCTAGTTGCTTCAGTACTCCAGATGTTCCAAAAGCCCAGTCGAAAACTATGTCGATACTCGAAACGAGATTTTCGTTAGCGTTAGAATTTCTTGTTACATTAATATCAATTGCACTGAGCGATTTCGACATTTGCGATCCATCGGTTCTGAGTAGTCCAAGTGAAGTGCACTTGCTCGCGTCCAGCTTTGGATACCATGGTTCTAGCATTTCTTGGCCGTTTAAATTACTGCGAAAACCACTTAGTGTATCAAGGAGGACTTCATTGCTGGTTTGATTTGTCACAAAAGGCTCTTCTCTCATATCTTGAGTCAGCATTGAGGCACGAACTCGATACCTTCTTCGCCCTTTTGTGACCCAGGTACCCGTTTGAGATGAGCGCACGACTTCTTCTAGGCACTGGACCACTGACTTTGAGCTACCCTCAGGTATGGAAGCGTCCTCAGTTTCGAATTTCAACGCCTCTTGAGAGCAGTTATGAATGACCAAGTCCACAAGATCCGAAACAACGTCAAGTGATTTGGACCTCATTTCTTGGGATCCCATAGCAGAAAGACCACCTGTTGATATATGGGCACCTGTCCTGTTTTGAAGTTCAATACCGGAGCTCGATTCGACTGGTTCCTGGAGTGGCCATTCTTGATTCTCTTCCTCAAAGAGAACAGGGGAAAGTGGGGTTAGTTCGTCGTAGAAAACGAACTCATCGTCATCTCGAATGATGTTTAGGTTTTCGTCGTAAGCTACGCCGCTATCCTTAATCAAACGGCACAAAGCCATGATTATCAACGTTAAAAACTCATCTGCATCCCCCTCCCAAAAAAATCCACAAATCTACTGATCTTTTCATAAATATCTATTGTTTCGAGAACTACTTCATCGAATTACTCAACATAGAACTCTGTCATCACTTAACACTGTTCTAAATTTTACTGTGTTTACTAACCTGGGTCGACTGCTGGGTCATTTAAACGGCTTTCCGCGGTTTTAGTAGCGTTCTTGATTAGAGACAAAATATGCTTCCTAGATTTGTTTTTCTGAAAATCAATTATTTAAATCTTAAAGTTTGCTAGTTTCGGGCAATTAGACTGTCATTTCAAACTGGACACTTAAATCAAATATACGTTGAAAAACTTTAAAGTAAGTCATTATTTTGCTATTGAATACCGGAAAAGAGCGAAGAGTCTAAGAGGATTGCAAAGGTGATGAACTCTGAGAAGCTCGGTGGTTCGTTTTGTTTGCTGGAGTTTCTCTGAAACTTGAGTGGTCTAGAGAAACTCGGAGTTGGAACTACATTATATACTTTCAGTCAGTTTTATACTCGAAGTGATCGGTTAGGTTTGTTTCGGATTATGAATGACCCTGTCGTGATGTATGATTCGGAGATGAATCGTTAAAGAGTACACGTCTTAGGACGAAGAAAGGACTCGGAAAGCATTCGGAAACGTGTTCGTGATCTCGGCTCTAAAAGGGTGAAGAAGTTAATATGGTCCAATATATATTCCAAGATTCACACAATTGCACAACAAAATCAACGTAAAACAGCAATATATTTATAAAGGAAACTCCCAACAGAATGATACCTTTTGCAATTTTGAAGAAAGATATCAATGTTATCGTATCTTTCAAAACTGATGCAAAATTGATAAGATAAAGTCTAAATGAAGTTTTAGTTTCACCTGAACACAAAATTTTCACGTCGTGCAAATGATTCTCGGATGAGAGTCATATCTTAAGAACGCCAAACAAAGTGCATCTTTTTTCTCAATTAGCATCGCTTGCACCTGATGATCCGCTTCTTTCGCGACTTCTAGTCCGCATTCTTTCTTTTTCTGAAGAAGGGCTCCGTCTACCTTTTGGACTCTCATCGGCTCTTCCTGTTTTTGGACTGGGACTTCTTGCTTCCTTTTTAGGACTGTGCTTTCTACGTTCTACAGGGCTTCGACTCCTGGACTCTTTCCTGGGCTTGCGCTCTTTTAAACTTGGACTTCTACGCCTGGCTTTCGGAGACGGACTTCGTCGAGGCCTTGGACTCCGTTCAGGTCTGGGACTTGGGCTCCTTCGAGGCACCGGACTTCGACGGTCACCTCCTCGACGATCGTCAACTTCTCGTCCACGAGATCTCTCTCGTCTGCCTCTCGAATGACTTCGATCTCTCCGATGACTGCCTCCACTTCTTCGGTCGGATCGTGATCTCGATCGACGTCTCTCGCGGCTGCGAGTTCGTGAACGTCGTCTTTTAATGTCTCGGTCGCGGCTCCTAGACCTGCAATATATATTATCATTCTCCATTTATAGTCAAAGTACCAAATTCAGCCTTTCCATGCAGTTTATCGCAAACTTCAGAAAACCTATGTGTTACAGTTAAATTTTCAAAATTAATCAGATAAGTGAAATTGAATGATTGAGCTACCTCCTAGCAGCAATTGACGCTCTACTGGGCATTTTACATTTATTAGCAAACAGAAGAAAAACAGAAGCCCATCTTGTAAAATTGCATACCGTTTGCTTTTGCCGTCTCTGTCATACAAGGCCGACCGACACTCGCTTGCAAAGTGCCCCCTCTTTCCACACTTGTGACAGTCATCATCATACTTGCCCCTGTCACCCTGTCTTGCCCACTCTATAATCATATTCCTCCCCAACAGCTCCCTTCTGTGCTCTTTTCGCATCGCCTCTTTCGCATCTTCTCGCTCGTAGAAATCAACAAAAGCATATGCCACTGCAACCCCTACTTTGACATCACACCTTATAAGTCGACCGTATCTTTCGAACACTTCTCGTAAGTCTGACTCACGTGTCTTTTTGTTCAGTCTGCCCACAAAAAGCTGGTTGTCGGAACCAGTATTGGCCATGAGACCTGAAAAGTATCTGAACTGTGCAGTCGAATGATAGCAAAAATGCGACACCTGAAAAAATCATTTGCCCATTCGAAATTAAAAGGCAGATACTTGATGATAAAAACAATAGCTACTAAAACAAATGACGACACTAAAATAATAACCTAAGTACTAATGAAAGCTTAGTACTAATTTAGCTTATCACGTGCAAGTAGCATAGAATAAGCCATAGTTTTCATTGCCAATAATTAGATCAATTTTTGAAAATCCATCACCACTAGTTTCGCACCACTTGCGATACATCAAGTATAGGGTTTAAGAAAGAATCACGCTCAAAAATAGCTCAAAAGGACTTGGAGCTCCATAGAAGGAACAAGAAAAGCGAAACATTACAAAAAGAAGGAAAAAAAGTTTTTCAAAAGATCCCAATGGAATTAATTTCGAGCATTGGACACTTTGCTGCAAAAATCTTCTCAATCTCCAAAACACCACCAAAGTTTTAAGGAAACAAAACAATGAGTAAAACCAACACAATCGTCAGCAAAAAAAAACTATTACACAGAGGCGAAGCAATGCAAAAAATTCTGAAAAAAATTGTTCATGGTTTTATAGAAGAAATTCATAAATAGCCTAAAAAGAATTGAAAATCAATTACCAAGCGCCGACTAATTTTTTGTCAGAACCTGTTTGAGCCGGAAACAAAACACTTGTCATAAGAACTTCATTAAGTTTAAAAATTCAATTTGAAACATATAATCGCATGCGAATATATTTGCCCTCGAAATTATGGAATAAAAATTAACTGACCCGATACAAACTGAAACTGTTTAAATAAAAAAACTAGAAAAAAAGTAAAAAAACATCAGATTTGGTAATTTTACACATAACTGAAATTTCAGTTGTAGTAAACAATGCTCAAATTGGAACTAAATACCTGCTCTAGAAAGTAAACCAATAAAAACCCTATCAGATAAAAAAACGGCATTTAAAAAAAACGGAAAATGGACGAACAGAAACTAGGACTAAAACTACGAACACGAAAAAAATTTAGACATTTTAGAAAAAAAAATTACTACCTGAAACTGGGTTCACCAAACTACTAGTTAAATTATAGTAATTTCATTTGAATTTTCCAGAAACTGAGCTTGTCAGAAGAAGTCCAGGAGATATGAAATGAGTCTTGTGGCAAAGTTGTTTACGGGAAAAAAGTCTAGTACCCGATTGCAATACCCTTGGTTATCGCAAGGGTAATCGAACTTCTAAAATATCTATACAGTTATTAGATTTCTAGAAAAAGCCTTGACCAGTAGGTACTAATAGCCAGAGATTAAACGTCAACAAATTTTAAGAATTTGAGCCTGTCCGCCGCAGAGCAGCATCTCAAATTATTCGAGTGATTTCGTTGAAAAAGTTGTTAAACCGAATAGGCTTCATTGTTCAGACCATTGAAAATGGGGAGGAACTTTGTATTTGGGTCTGTTTTAGTTTTTTTCTTTATGTTTTCCACGCAAAATCAGGTACCACAAATAATGATTGGACTGGATTGAGTGATATACCATATCAAAGCCCTTACAGTCGTGATTCGAACCACATTTGAACATTTCATATAAGTTTTCCCAGTGTCGAAAAAAACTGTTTGAAAACTGGATTCTTATTTCGAGCGAATAAAGCGAGCAGTATTATTTGAATTTCAACGCTTACAATAGCTTAATTTAAAACGTGACAATTTTATTTTACTTGGTTATCTTTAGTTTACTTTGAGTATTTTAGCGCCTTTTTGGACTCAAAATTTTCAAAAATTCAAAAAACTGCAAAATTTGTTTTTTGATTATTTTTTTTTCGATTTTCTAGTAATTTTTCTACAAATATGTTTTTTAATTTGCTTATTTTAGTATGCCTGTCGAATATACCTGATCCCCGGTTTTCTGCTCAGTTCTTTTTATCACACCACGTCGAAAAAAAACGACAAAAATTTGAAAAAACATTGTCGTATTTTTTTAAGACTATGGTCGAAACATTGTGCTATTTGCACAGTAGCCGGCTATCCTTGTTCCGATTTGATAACGCTTGCTAATCGCAAGCGTTATCATTTCTAAAAAGATAAAATTTGCAACCGCTCAGACTGCGGTAATAATTATTTTCAAAGGATAGCAATTAACTATTTATTTTGTGAAGTTAACCAAAGTTCAAACAGAACTGAAGAATCTCCGCAAAAGTATTCACTCTTCGCAAAAGCTCCGAAAAACTTGGACCAATTTCTTCGACACTAAGATAATTTTTTCAAGTTTAAACTGATTTCATATTTCCTCTTTGGGAGCTTTCTTTGAAGTAACAGAAATCAGCCCATCCTACATCATAGTTCTTTCTATTCTTTTCGCGATGAATTAGACCGCGACGAAAAAATTAGGCCGTCATTCTAGTAGTTGGGATTCTTACCAGATCTTCACAAAGGCGAAGCGTAAAAACAGCAAGAAAAAAACTAGCTCTAATGTACTTACACAGAGGCGAGACTGCACTTCCTAATTCTACAAAATTCGAGTCTTGACCATTAGGTGCACCTTCCAAACACCAGCCATCAATAAAGCGGATAAAACAAAGATTAGTGCACAGATAAACAAATCAATGGTTCGTCTTAAGAAATGTCTAAAAATAATCACTAGCGTTGAACAAGCATTCAGAACCATTTACCGAGCGGCAATTAAGCCAACAACACTTGGGTAGGGCTGTTGAACTGAAAAAAAGACAAAATTTTGAGCTAATTTGTTAAGCAAACAATATTATGCAAAAAAACATCTCTTTAAACGCCGCAATATAAGGAGACTAAGCCGATCAGTCGAAATTAATTTGCCAAAAAAAAACAATGAAAAAAAATAATGGAGTTAAAGTTTAACAAATCACAAGAACAACTTTCAAGCACAGCAAAATTGCTAAGATCAGAAGAAAGCTCTTGAAAAGTACGCCGAAAAAAAAACAGACAAGGATATTGCAGGAATATATCAATAGGACTTCCAAATACAAAACAAATCTTTAAATGAAAACAAATAGTCTGTGATGTTGCATCTCAACTGACAAAAATAAACGGGTCGACAAAAATTTTTCCGAAGACTGAGTTTCGGGCTTGCATATAGTACAGACAGATACCGCCTCGTCCAAGAACTGGACATCATTTCTGTAATATATGTAGAGAAACAGACGCCGAGCTTGAACTGACCAGTTTTTTATTATTTGATTCGATGATTTTATTTGACATGCTGTTTGAAGGAAAAAAAACAAGCAACCATGAAAAATGATCAATTAAAATGAAGGGATAGCAGAAAGAGAATGTCCCACGTTTCGCCCCCACACACATTTCGCCCCTCTTAAATCTAGTGGCACATTTCGCCCCTAATAAATTCACACATTTGTTCCTCGCACGTTTCAGCCCTTACTTATTACACAGTTAATTAACGCCGCTTTCTTAATGTACGTTTTAGGGGCGAAATGTGCCAGTAATTTTTGAGGGGGCGAAATGTGTGAGGGGCGAAACGTGCGAATACCCAGAAAGAGGGCCTCGGTAAGTTTGATCATTTTTGTAAGTTTCGGTAAGTTTGATGTTTGTTTTCACAAAACGGAAAAATTAGGAAAGTGCTTTTTCATTGACAAAAAAATTAATAAATTGGTGAACATCCAAGTGCCAGAAAACATTCAACAAATAATTTTTCGGTTTTTTCTGATGATTACTTATGATCAGTTTTACATTGCTTTACCATGAAGTAATCAAAAAACGAGTATCAGTGTTCTCATGTGAGGTGATCGAAACAAAAACAATTCAACGGTTGGGTTAAAATGCTTGGCAATTCCCGGAGTATCAAAAGTTCAGCTCATCGACAGGAAAAAAAAGCTGCTGCAAATAAGGACAACGGATAAATAATCGGAAAAAAGTTTGAAAGTTAGTCTTTTGTGTAAAAAAAAAACATTCATTTTGTCATAAGAAAAACGAAACAACCTACGATATTTTTAAGGTTTCTTGAATTGACTTAGATTCCAAAGCCAGTCAATATAAAAACGCGCCGCGTACTTGTCTTAGAGCAATTATGAATGGAATCCAAACAATTCAATCGGATCGTGACTGGGCTGGGTTCACGGCCGGCTGGGTTTGGGTTAACCATCACGTCCCTGTTCGTTCGTGTATGGTCAAAATTACAGCAGTGCATGGCCATTCTTGGAGCACGGGTAAAAAGCCAGATGGGTGACATGACCTGGAAGGCTCTGTTCCCAAGAGGGCGCCGTGATCGCGACAGCAGGGTACGGGTATATCATAGCGACGGGTATAAAAGGGTGGTCTTAAGGGTTCAGGGGTTCACCGTGAGACCATTGGGCACTGGGTTTCGTGTTCAAAAGATCTCGGCCAAGCGGGCACTTTTGTGGTTCGATTTGGGCGGGGTTGGATCAGCATGGGCAACGACGATCATTAATCAGGGTTTAACTGGCGAAAGCGGAGTCCTAAAAACAATCAATATTTCAATCAAGTTGCCTCCTGAACTACTCGAAAGTGACAAAAACTATATTCAAAAGGAAATGAACATTAACAAAAAATGGTGATTTACCAAAAACAGCATGGCTTGAGTCTTTTGACTTTTTAACAGCCAAATTAGCTTCTTATTCTTGCCCACGACTGTTAGTGCAGATAAATATTTAACTTGCATCATTCGATCGTGACTTGGATCGTTTGGCATCTTTGGGGGATGCAGTTTCCTCGACCGTACCTGGTATAGGCTCAGCAGATGAGTCCCCGTTTTCATGCTTGGACCCAGTTTCACTACGCGTTCGGCTTCTTGTACGACTGTGTGACTCACGGCTCTGTTTTGGACTAGTCGTTCGTTCTTTCTCTCCGTTTGCTTCGCTTTTTGCACTTCCTGACCTTTCTCGTTTTTCTTCTCGTTTGCTTTCTCGTCTCTCGCGCTTCTTTCGACGTGGCGTCCGTGATCGATCTCTGTCTGGTGACCTTGAATCTCTGTCACGTATGGGTGAACTGTGACTTCTGCGTCGGCGACGAGAACTTCGTCTTTCTGAGGATCGTCGCCGTCTTCTGTCATCGTATGATCTTGAACGCGATCTCCTGCGTCTGTCCCGTGATCTTGATCTCGAACGCCGGCGACTTGCACCACCTCTGCAGTCTCTTGAATGATGCCCAAGACCTCCACATTTCCAGCAAGAATCACTGGATCTGTCCAAGCGTCCGGCACGCCTCTTCACTCCTGGTCCTTCATCATCTTTCGCCCACTCAACGACAATTTTCTTTGTGTGGTATTCACGCCCATTTTCCCGCCTTATAGCATCGTCGGCATCTCGTCTGTCAAAATAGTTTACAAATGCAAATCCCATTTCGACGCCAATCCGAACATCACAACGAGACATTTCGCCATATCGAGAGAATATTGAGCGAACTTCACGTTCTGAGGTGTTTTTGCTGAGGCGACCGACGAATAAACGCCCGTCACCACCCATACTATCTGAAAATTTTACAAATGATCAAAACCAATTCAACTGTAACAAAATCTCAGAGCAGCTTCATAAACATATTGAAAAACCATTAAGAAGCCTACTTAGATATCAATATCATGAATCAATTTGCTGAATTCGAACTGAGTTGAAAAATCCCAGTAACCAAAAGTCCACATTCAATGCTCAAAAAAGCCTCATGGTTTCGACTAGCTAACCAATGATCCGCGCTGTAAAAAATTTGAAAAGAATGCTGTCAGAGTCATTGAATTAAATGCACCATATGGGATTAAAATTCCAACGACAAATCAAATGACATTCAAGAGGAAAGTCCAGTCTAAACAGATTGTAAGACTGGGGGCTCAGCTCCGCCCAGATTCACAGCACCCTCTACTTCCATCTTTTCAGTAGCTCCTCCAGCGACGTCCTTTTCCATTATCTGACTGTGCAGTTCCATCAGTTTGCTGGGATCATAAGCAGGTCTTCGAGTAACCTAAACAGTTTAAGACGTTCTTACGCGTATGTTTCCTTCAAATAGTTTAAGCCAAATAATCTTTTTGTATACATCAGCAAGAAATGATGAATAATGCAAGAAGTACTCTGCAACGTTTCTCACCTTTATTTTTCGGATGTGTACATCCTGTAGAGGGTAGACGAACTGACACTCGTGGATGATTTCCTTGGGAATAGTGTCAGGCAGAATCTTCTTCGCCAGCAAATCCTTCAAAGTGTTTCCTTGGATCTCTCGGTTCATGGCATCAACCATCTTTCGCCTGATCTTCTTGATGTGCTGAGCAGAGGCGTAGGAAGTTTTCTTCACCTAAAACAAATCGCAATATGTCACTACAATTCTAGTAGTTGAAATCGTGTGCAGAAAAAGTTAATCAAACAAACTGTTAACCTGATTAAGAGATTTCTTGGTGAAGCCAATCATAAACATTCGCAGCTCGTATCCATCAGAGGTCTTAGCCTTGGTCACAGCCTCGATCAAAGTCTGCCACTTTCGCACCATGGAGCAAAGCTTGTCTCTCGTCAAGCACAAACTGTGGAAGTTTGTGAGACAGTTTCGGTCCGAAACCTCTTCAACGATGAACTTGATTTTTCGGTGTCCCTGCTCTCCGCTGTCAGTAATATCAGCAATATTGGTTTCGAACACACGGCCCTTCAAGTTCTCGCTGGACAATTTCAGTCCTTGGCTCTTTGAGGCAATGGTTTTGCAGAACGATCTTGTCTTCACGAAGCCAGGTGCCACAACATCGTACCATTCCTTTTTCAAGAAAGGATCGACTGGCTTCTTGGATCCCTTCTTCTTGCCTCCTTTAGATAATCCCTTATTCTTTCCGACGGCCATTTTTGAGAAATCAGAATGTTTGATCTGAAAAAAAAAACATTTCATTCATTTCGAAATGAAGCGTATGCACATTGCTAAAATATCATGATGCACAAAATCATGAATCGTCAGATAAATTTGCACTTATCCCATGCAACTCTTCCATAGGCTGCCACTATATCTTTTAGCAAACAAGTTCAGACAGACAAAACAATTTAAAGAGCAATGGACCTACACCAGTCGACAGAATTAAACAAAAATTCAAGTTTTTACGCTCTAAACTGCCTGTGTGCAAGATCCAATTTGGACAACATTTCCTAAGAGCATATAGACCAGAGCTAATCTCTATGGAACTATCAATATTTGGTTTGAATGACTTACCAATGTAACCCGGGTCTGAATATGCCAGTTTTCCTCATCTGCACTAACCGTGAAAAAGTAAGAAACATCCGAGTTCAGTAAAGTTTTCACACTAATTATTTCAATTTCTCGCTGAGAATGTTTCACGTCGCATATTTTTTCTATTCCGCTTATTCTAGAAAGAATTCACTGCGATGAAAAACTGAGTACAGATGAGGAAAACTAGTATTTCAAGACCCAGAATACTTTGGTTAAGTCATTGAAAAGAAGTATTGATAATTTCATAAAGGGTACCTCTGATCATTTGCTCTTCGTCTTTGTAAACATTTCACTGAATTTCATAGGAACTGTTGTCCAAATTGGACCTAGAGAACAGGCAATTTACAGAGCAGATCTTGAACTTGCGCTTAATTTTGTCCACTAGCGTATTTAGGAAAATTTCTCAATGCACAAAACTAATTTCCCTAAAGAACTCATGCCTCAAGGTTGCTCGAAAAAGCTGCAAGCAAAACTCTGACAAATGGAAAACATTGATCTTTTTAACAAATAAAAAAAAGGTAAATTATAAAAGGGGGCCTTCCGTTTAGGTACGGTGGTGCACAAGCTGGATAGGGCCCATACCAGCATTATGCAAATACATCAATAAACAATATTGCATGAATTAAGTCAAGTCAGCATTTAATTTTTTGAGAAAAGAATGGTAAATTACCTTGTCTGAACAGTAACAGGAAAACAGTAAGAGGATGACGTACAAAACGGGTGGAAACAGGAAACCGCGTCGGGAAGGATTAATTAAACAGGTTGTCATTAAAATTAAAATCAGTGCATATAAAATATTTAGGTTTCCTGGTGCCACGGATACACAAGATGCTTTTCATTAAAGAAAAATTTATGCGAATGCGTAGCCACTTTATGGCTTCAGATTGGGTAGCATTTCTTTTGATTGCAATTAAAAAGGCTAGTTGGGATAGCATCTTGTAGGTAAGAGGGGAGGCGCCGCCCAGACTGCTGAAAACTAATGGTGTAAATGAGCCGTTTTCGATGTTCAAAATACGTTGCTGGTACATATTGATCTTTTCGCGTTCATGTCTACGATAAATCTGCGCGAGTTCGCCAGCATTGCTACGGGCTACAGGATTAAAAACTCTAACATCAAAAAATGCCCGTTGGCCATGCTGCCAAAAACTCGAAGCAGAAACATCCAATCTGGCGCCGTCATTCAAGTTCCCTCTGACGTTATCGTTGTCATTGAGGGGATGAAGATGAGGTTCAACTTCCGTATCCGGACAGACTCCACGCAAGACGCCAGCTAAAAGGTCACGGAGATCGTTGTGTCGCCGTCCGACAAAGCCTCCGGTAGCGCACTGAAGGGCGTGCTGAATACTGAAGTCTGCGCTACAGACACACTTCGTGGGCAAGTGTTCGAGGTTCACTCCGCATCGCATCCTTGCAAGATCACGGAATTCATGGCGGCTGAATAAGAAACCGTTATCTCTGTCTGGTCTCGCCGTTAGCCAGTGAGAAGCGCCCTTTTCACAAACTCCAGAGTTGATGAGTTTCAGCTCTTCAATGACTGTAGACATCAGGTCAACGTGAGTTGTTTTCTCCAACTCTCTTTTCGCGCGCTTAATGGACTGCGCTCCTTCTCTATAGCTATTAGTCTGTAGGGTACTTTCCTGCGATATTATTTGCGTGGCTAATGACGCTGTGGCTGCCTGTGAGCCGGTAAACCGAAACCGCTCGTAAGACGTCGGATTCTCGATAGCCATCCCGCCTAACTGAACAGGTAGCGACGTCAGAGTACGGGTTTCGTCGGAAATCTCGCATCCGAAGAGAGAGGGAAGCATCTTATCCTTGATAGAGAATTCAAGGGGGGTCCAGGTATCGGAGGGAGTGTCAACGACCCGTTGGACGTATGCCCATTTTCGCTGTAGACTAATAGTATATCCAGCGAAAGCACAGTGTGGTTCAGTCTCAGCCACTTCGTAGAGTCTCTCAACGAGAGTGCAGTATTCCTGGCATTTCTGAGTGGTATAAGCCAGTTTTTCGCTCTCATCGCCGACAAACCCTCCAAGATACTTACGGCCAGTGGCAATCTTAACACCAGTATCTTCAAAAAGGAGAGTGGCGGCATCGAAAAATTCAGGCTTGACGACGAGGTAGGTTTTGCTAGCGTTAGGGTAGAAACCGTATCCAGGCCCTTCTTCCGCGAGGGCGTTCCACCAGCTATGGAGGGTCTTAAGTCTGCCGGCACCAGCTCGGTCGTCGGCGTAGAAGACACGCTTAGTGTCGGACTTCATGAATACCAGGGGAATGGTGGCGATGCCATACAGGCACATGGCCGCAGCATCTCCCTGTGTAGTCCCTTCCTCAGAAAGAAACATCTCGCTACCGGCAAACATCATGGAAGGCTGTCTATAAGTGTTCGAGAAGAAGTTGGCCAGCTTGGGACACAAAACCTGGACATTTCGCAGAGCAGCGGCACGATTCAATTTATTGAACGCGTTCTCGGCATCGACAAAGAGGATGCCCTCACATTCGGTGCTCTGAAATATGGTGTTCATGGAGTGAACAGCGACTTCGATGCCGCCGGGGTGCCCAGCACAGGTCTGGAGAGGGCCCACGGTGCTACGGATTTCATCCTTCATTATGCTCATGATAGCAGAAGTGATGATCCGTCTGAAAACGTCTCCTATGCCGATAGGCCTGATGCCTGGGTTTTTGTCCAGTGCATTAGCACGGGAAGCAAGGAGGGGAGCCAAAGCATTAGGGTCGATGTTGGATCGCATCATGGACTGACCCAAACTAGAAAGCTCAGTGCAGAGGTCATTCGTTCCGGTGAAGCTTCTGGAGCAAAGGATGCGACGAGCGTTGACTGAATCTACGCCGGATGGCCCGGCCCCTCCACTACACCTGAGTGCCGTTTTTCGGATGAGCTCGCCCGTGAGATTATAGCTAGCGGCTATTGTGGGCCTGTCGACAGGTCCATGAAGAATTGTACCGGGCTTGATGTCTGCTCCAGCTGGATGTTTCTGTTTAAGCGCGTCAAGAACCTCGGTCGTAATTTTTAGTGGCTTGCTATTAGTTTCCAGCATGTTGGTAGCGGTGCTGTTTTTACCATTTAAAATAAGGGAGCTATAACGTTTAGCGTCAATTTTATTGGGCCCAGTGGCCCGGTTAATATCGATATCAAAACGTTGCTGTATTTCCCTCACTTCTTTCAGTAAGATACATAAATCACCGTCATGCCAAGAGTTGATTCTACGTTGCAAAACTTCCAAGTGGTCACGGCTTTTAGATTGCTTAGCTGGTTTTTGTAACAGGAGTTGGGGAATTACGGCAAACGCAAAAAGAGCACTTTTAGCACCTGGCACATTGCTGTTAAAGGTATGCAATAAGCGCACCAACTCTGCGACGAATTGGTTCCCGGCATTGCCAGTCGGTAGGGCAAATAGATTTTGTCGCAGTTTTCCGATTGAGTGAAAACATTCTACCAGCTCATCATGTGGCAAATTCATACCTCTCGTTGTCTTCAGATTACCATCATTGATGTGCTGGTAGGGTGGCAGGTCCCTGTACGTCCAAGGATTCGTGTCCTCCTTTGTTGTGTCCGGTCGCAGTGTTAGGTCACTCATCGCCTGCGTTAGTCCCGATGGCTGGTTCCGGCAGGTCGGGCACACGAAGTGTTCTTCTCGTGGGATGTTGTTCACGTATCTTTCTGTTGTCCCTGCACAGGAATAGTGGAACCAGTGAAGGCAGATTCCGCAAAAGACTCCTTTCTGAACAACGAGTCCCCCAAATCTGTATCGTTGCTTCCCGCATGGTGATGAATTTGATCGAACGGATCGTCCTGTCATCGCTGATCACTCATTCCTTTTATTTGAAACTATTTAATAAGTTTATCACAACAATTAGGCTAAATGCATTGTCGTTAATGCATTGTCATTCAAAGTATTTACTTCAACCGTCCCTCCTATACAACAGCACTAATTGAATTGTCTATGAATTGCGTCTTACGCAGTGATCTGCAACCCCGTATACAAAGGATAGCACTCCTGAGCAGCGCGAGCTTATCTTAGTTCTTATATAGTTTATTGTCTCTGCGTAGCTTTCATGCCTTTTTTCACTAAGTTTTTTCAGCTATCCGCTGAATTGTCCGAGTAGCTGCTGGTGCGGCACCACCAGTGCAGCCAAAAATGAGCGGGCAGAAGAAGCTGCTCTGTACGACTTGTAGAACTCGCTGTTGGTTGTTGAGTTTTCTAGTGATTCGTGGTACTTATAGGCGTCTTTCAGTAGTCTTCGTGAAGTTTTTGCGTGCGGTTTGAACACTTTGACATCAAAGAAATTTCGACTAAATCTTGAGCCCCATAATCCATTTGCTTTTACATCTAGTCGAGCGTCTTCATCAGTTGTGGTTCAAATGTTTACAAAGTTCTCGCCTTGAAACGACTGAGGTTTCGGCTCGATTTCAACATCAAAGCAAACCTCGCTCATGAGGGTGGCAAAGGTATCTCTGATTTCGTTATGCCTCAGGTGGGTGTATCCACCTTTTGCACAGTGAAGGGCGTGGTTAAGTTCGGAAGATTGACCACATGCACATGTGAATGGAATGTTGGTTGGTTCCCATCCATATCTGAGATAAATTCCATCCCGGAATTCGGATTTTTTCAGGTTAAAATTTTAACTGCTA